GATAAAACGTATCGGTGCTCATTGGCCATTGGACATAAACATTACACAACAAGTTGGAAATCCCAAAATCAACAATGAGTGATTTGGAAGAAATCAGTGGCTAACTGCAAGCATTGCAAAGCAATCACTAGCCTGCTATTCAGTGGAGTGGGTGTGTTGTCCAAGTCTGGGTTTAAGGGTCTCTTTTCCAAGCTTAAAAGGATAAACATTCAACATTGGCCATGCTGTCAATCCAGCATGACTTCAGCCCCTTTCAAAAGAACTGGAGACTCAGAACAGGGAAATCTCAAACTTCAGTGAGTTCAAGACAACTGGGAACTCTGAAAAATGATGAGCTACGACTGGGAAAATAAGTTTTGAACGGTGATCCAACTCAGAATAGAGCTCCGACCTGAAGATCACTGACGTCATCATGATTCGACCTTGTATTTTTCAGAGTTCCCAGTTGTCTTGAAAGCACCATAAATCTAGAGAATGCCAGACTTTAATGACAAAATTTGGCCATGAAGGACCACCGCGCCACCTTCCGGTTCAAGTGAGCACAGCACAACAAGGTAAGTCCAAAAATGTCTTGTATGCTGCTGCATAAATGTAATATGCCAGGGAGATAGTATTACTTTCTTAGCTACAGTATACATAAGTATGTTGTGTAGTAAGCTGTTAGTAGCCCATGTGCCTCACCCTAATAATTTGGTCCCTTTTCCCCTCATAATTCAGCCTACTGTTCCGACTTGGTGGTGCACATGTAGCCTGTTTTAGAGATATTTAATAATTGAACATTGTAAGCGCTTTCATTGTTTGCTTATATGCCCCCTTTATTTATCCTACGGTTCTGACTTGGTGTACAGGGAGAACAGCCCATGTTCTGAATTTTGTCGCTGTACATTTCAAAAGTACTGAACAAATAGTTATATTGACTACGTCCATCCTAGCTCGCTCATTAGTCTTGATCGAAATTACGGATTGCCTCTTATCCGCTCGTCGTCCCCTTATGCCATAGTTTGTACATCTCAATTGTCAGTAGCAACCACATTTGTTTAAGCAAGTCAGTCATATCAGCTATGTCTTTTTTTTTAAGGCAGTAAATGAGGCTGAATGAACTGTTTCACTGCCAGACAAGGCTCTGCTGATAGCCATGTGTAGCAGTGGTAAGGTGTTGGGACTGCTGTTGGGACAGCTTTATGTAGGCCCTAACAGTTTGTGGGCACCGTTTGTCACTGTTATAGTTATAGTTACAAAATAGCCTCCAACACTCTACTCAGCAAATTGGATGTAGTCTATCACAGTGCCATCCGTTTTGTCTCCAAAGCCCCATACACTACCCACCACTGTGACCTGTACGCTCTTGTTGGCTGGTCCTCACTACATGTTCGTCGTCAAACCCACTGGCTCCAGGCCATCTATAAATCACTGCTAGGCAAATCCCCACCTTATCTTAGCTCATTGGTCACCATAGCAGCACCCACCCGTAGTCTGCGCTCCAGCAGGTATATCTCACTGGTCATTCCCAAAGCCAACACCTCCTTTGGCCGCCATTCCTTCCAGTTCTCTGCTGCCAATGACTGGAACGAATTGCAAAAATCTCTGAAGCTGGAGACTCTTATCTCCCTCAATAACTTTAAGCATCAGTTGTCAGAGCACCTTACCGATCACTGCACCTGTACACAGCCCATCCGAAATTAGCCCACCCAACTACCTCATCCCTATATTGTTATTTATTTTGCTCTTTTGCACCCCAGTATCTCTATTTGCACATAATCTCTTGCACATCTAGCATTCCAGTGTTAATACTATTGTAATTATTCTGCACTATAGCCTATTTATTGCCTTACCTCCATTACTTGCTACATTTGCACACACTGTATATATATTTTCTGTTGTATTTCTGACTTTATGTTTTTTTTTTTTACCCCATATGTAACTCTGTGTTGTTTTTATTGCACTACTTTGCTTTATCTTGGCCAGGTCGCAGTTGTAAATGAGAACCTGTTCTCAACTGGCTTACCTGGTTAAATAAAGGTGAAAAAAATAAAAAAAAAATTAAAAAAAAATAATTGTGCAATTAATGTTTTTTTTTGTGTTGTTGCCTTGCTGGCATGCATCAACATGAGTTGTGTTTTTTTTGCCCCACCAAGATTTACATGCTAAAATTGCCACGGAGTACATAGGCTCAAGAGACAGGGTAAATTCAAACCAAAATAGCTTTTATTGCCTATAAGGTTCCACCCTAAATGATCTCTTCAAGAATCAAACTTAAATGTTCAGCAAATAAAACTTGAAACCAGAGCTAACTGCTTTCTCAGTCTAACTGCTTTCTCAGTCCTTGAGTAGCCAGCAACACCCTTAACAAGCGTATTTAAATCAGCCTGCCTGTTCCATCTTCAAGCCAGTGGGCACATTCCCGGCTGACTACATGGTTGTGAGGGCGTGAACATTAAATGGCCGCCCCTCACGGCGCCACACTCCCTTCTTCTCATGAGGGAAGCCGTCATGTGGCCAACGGTGGCCCACCCATCCCAAGGCTTCAAGCTGATGGCTGCGTTCCAGACTGACCACCTGGCTTGTAGTGCTGGTTGTGTTAGGAGGACTGGCCCCTGACAGCCCCACACAGGCATAGAATTTAGCTAGCATAAACCTAACTCACCAGGGCCCGGTTTCCCAAAGGCATCTTAAGGTTAAATTCATGGTTAGAACCATAGGACCCTATGGCTCTAACGATGAACTTAGCCTTAAGATGCTTTTGAGAAACCGGGCCCAAGATTATCTCTTCATAAACATCAAAATAAAATACGTCCCAATTCTCCTCTGGTTCAGCTCACTGATTATCTAAGCACTTGATTCTTCTGCAGTAGTAAAAATATACTCCACAACTTTGTTTCCAATAAGTTATCAACGTTCAATATTTCTACGATTCTTCTAGGTTTCTTTCTGCGTCACAGTTCAGTTTGTGGACGCTCTCTCCAAAGGCAAGAGGGAAAGAGAGCGAGATCAGAGCCACAGAGATCTTCAGACTCTAGCGGTCGCCAACAAACTCCCAACCGATAGAATTAGTGTAAAGAACTTAGGGGCTGTCTTGTTTTGTGAACATGTTAGGGAATGTCTAAAATAGCATGGGCTACATACGCATTATACTTCAGAGAGCTGCTGTCCCAATCTCAAAATGCCCTATTTCCATGCAAAAATAAATACACTGCACAAAAAAATAAAGGGAACACTAAAATAACACATCCTAGATCTGAATGAATGAAATAATCTTATTAAATACTTTTTTCTTTACATAGTTGAATGTGCTGACAACAAAATCACACAAAAATTATAAATGGAAATCAAATGTATCAAACCATGGAGATCTGGATTTGGAGTCACCCTCAAAATTAAAGTGGAAAACCACACTACAGGCTGATCCAACTTTGATGCAATGTCCTTAAAACAAGTCAAAATGAGGCTCAGTAGTGTGTGTGGCCTCCACGTGCCTGTATGACCTCCCTACAACGCCTGGGCATGCTCCTGATGAGGTGGCGGATGGTCTCCTGAGGGATCTCCTCCCAGACCTGGACTAAAGCATCCGCCAACTCCTGGACAGTCTGTGGTGCAACGTGGCGTTGGTGGATGGAGCGAGACATGATGTCCCAGATGTGCTCAATTGGATTCAGGTCTGGGGAACGGGAGGTCCATAGCATCAATGCCTTCCTCTTGCAGGAACTGCTGACACACTCCAACCACATGAGGTCTAGCATTGTCTTGCATTAGGAGGAACCCAGGGCCAACCGCACCAGCATATGGTCTCACAAGGGGTCTGAGGATCTCATCTCGGTACCTAATGGCAGTCAGGCTACCTCTGGCGAGCACATGGAGGGCTGTGCGGCCCCCCCAAATAAATGCCACCCCACACCATGACTGACCCACCGCCAAACCGGTCATGCTGGAGGATGTTGCAGGCAGCAGAACGTTCTCCACGGCGTCTCCAGACTCTGTCACATGTGCTCAGTGTGAACCTGCTTTCATCTGTGAAGAGCACAGGGCGCCAGTGGCGAATTTGCCAATCTTGTTGATCTCTGGCAAATGCCAAACGTCCTGCACGGTGTTGGGCTGTAAGCACAACCCCCACCTGTGGACGTCGGGCCCTCATGGAGTCTGTTTCTGACCGTTTGAGCAGACACATGCACATTTGTGGCCTGCTGGAGGTCATTTTGCAGGGCTCTGGCAGTGCTCCTCCTGCTCCTCCTTGCACAAAGGCGGAGGTAGCAGTCCTGCTGCTGGGTTGTTGCCCTCCTACGGCCTCCTCCACGTCTCCTGATGTACTGGCCTGTCTCCTGGTAGCGCCTCCATGCTCTGGACACTACGCTGACAGACACAGCAAACCTTCTTGCCACAGCTCGCATTGATGTGCCATCCTGGATGAGCTGCACTACCTGAGCCACTTGTGTGGGTTGTAGACTCCGTCTCATGCTACCACTAGAGTGAAAGCACCGCCAGCATTCCTGAGGGATGCACTAACTGTAAGTCGCTCTGGATAAGAGCGTCTGCTAAATGACTAAAATTTAAAAATTTAAAAGTGACCAAAACATCAGCCAGGAAGCATAGGAACTGAGAAGTGGTCTGTGGTCAACACCTGCAAAACCAGTCCTTTATTGGGGGTGTCTTGCTAATTGCCTATAATTTCCACCTATTGTCTATTCCATTTGCACAACAGCATGTGATATTTATTATCAATCAGTGTTGCTTCCTAAGTGGACAGTTTGATTTCACAGAAGTGTGATTGACTTGGAGTTACATTGTGTTGTTTAAGTGTTCCCTTTATTTTTTTGAGCAGTGTACTTTAAGAAAATGTTTTGTATAAGAGTAAATTGAGGCAAACACACACATTCACACAACAGATATCAGACCATTCAATAACGGCAAGGTTTGGCTTCTTCTGTGCCGTTTGTCAAGGCATCCGTCTGTCCTGTCATGACTCCATTGCAGTGATGATAGCCACCACTTCTCCACCCTGGCTGGCTCTACTTGCCAAAGACGCTGGCTCCTGGGGCTTTAGGCTTCTCCAGTACCGTCTCTCCTCCAGACTTCACCCCACTGAACACAGATGGAGCCACCTTTCCCATACGCTCTGAGGATGGACAGAGACAAGGCTGTGAGCAAAGATAGTGGGGCATGCCATGCACTACTACACAAACACACAAAGATGATGAGCAATATTCACACTGTAGACAGACATCAGTTTATCTATAATCTTTAGAAGAAGTGCTGCAGTTATGTTGTCTTTTATCCTTCTTCCTAGTTCTCTAATCTAACATTCTACCCTGGGGACAGGGACAGTAACACTAGGCCAGTTTCTGACAACTTAGCCTCCTGTTCTACACTAACTATACACCCTCTGTCTTAAACACTGACTGCACAAGATTCAGTCTCTGTAGGAGTGGAAACTATGTCACTCACTCAGTAGCTCTCTCCCGAGCTGGGCTTGGGCCAAATACACACCAGAGTTCAAAGATAACATTCTAGAAAGTGTGACCAAGCTCACGTCACTTGACTTGACTGTGTGACGTTACTCTCCCTGATATGCTCCCTGCACTAATGCTTACAACTGACCAATATCAAAAGGGTATATGCGGTCAACAATTAATATGGCAGTGATAATTACTTGTATATGACACACTCCCCAAGTGGAAAAAATTATGTTAGGCAAGTGACATTAGGCTACTATAGAGTCTGAATGCTGCTACTCACCACACTCTACCATGACCTCATAGGTCTTACTCTTGGGTTCGCCCTTCAGCCCCAGTTTAGTGAGGGCTCCTTTCAGGTCCTCCTCCTTCATCACAGGACGCTTCTTCTTCACCTCACCGGGCTATGGAGGGCAGGAGAGAATGGATGTTAAAAGACAGGGCAACATCTTTCTGGATTTCCCTTATCGTAACAACTCTCCCTCTGATTTGTCTCTCGATCTTCCTATTTTAGAGTAAATATTGCAGAATCCTTTACATAGGAAATATGTAGATTTAGCTGTCACATCAAGAACTGGACAACAAATAGTTGATCAAATAGGTCAGGACAGTAGGATACAAGGACATTTGCTTACCTGAGACATTGTCTGTGGATTTTCGTGTCTTAATCCCAGAGTTGTGGTCACTGGAGCTGTCTGTATGTCTGGACTGCTCCTCTCTGTCCAGTCCATTATGTTTATATCCCAGATCCTCAGGGGACTAATCTCTCTGTTATTGCCCCTGGGAGTGAGTCAGCGGACCCCCACCCTCCTCTCTGTCCATTGTCAGTGTGTAATATTAGACTGACGTGAGGGATTGTGCAGCTGGAACAGGTCTTCCCTCGTTTAGGATGGGGTTGCAACGAACTGCTGAGTGAGAGACAACGCATAGCCCTTACAACATTCCACTAGCAGTGATTTCAAGCAACTCTGAAAACTACACCACTACCTGGCAGTCTAGTGGTTAGGATTCAGTGCTTTCACCGCAGTGGCCTGGGTTCCATTCCTGGTCATGGAATGTCCTTTTAGGCCTCTGAATGCATGTCAACTGGCATAACATTACATTTACATTTAAGTCATTTAGCAGACGCTCTTATCCAGAGCGACTTACAGTTAGTGAGTGCATACATTATTTTTTTATACTGGCCCCCCGTGGGAATCAAACCCACAACCCTGGCGTTGCAAACGCCATGCTCTACCAACTGAGCTACACCCCTGCCGGCCATTCCCTCCCCTACCCTGGACGACGCTGGGCCAATTGTGCGCCGCCCCATGGGTCGCGGCCAGTTACGACAGGGCCTGGATTCGAACCAGGATCTCTAGTGGCACAGCTGCGCCACTTGGGGACTCAGCTGATGAACACCTTCCCCATGTTACTACTAACCCCAAAATAGCTCTCCTCCCTACTGCTCAATCAAGAGTTCACCTCTTCCATCAAATTAAACCTGAGGTCAAAATATTTTTCTGAACGGATTACGTAAATGTTTAGGGATTTTGCAAACACAACACTTGCAGTCATACAATTTTGACATAATGGTTCAGAATAAGACTTGACTCAGAGAGGGGCCAGACCATACATACTGTATCACAGGGAGACTAGTGAATCAGCCATTCTGTTTGAGAGAGAGGCCATCGCTTGCCTGCCAGCATGTCTGTGTGTGTAGTTAATAATGCCAAGTGAGTAAGGAGTCAGAAGGTGTTTGAGAGCCAGGCTTGTCCATCAATAACAATTGTCCTTGAGTCAGTTTGTATGATTCAAAAGATAGTCTTGTATGGATAATTAGGGGTCTATTTGCAGCAGTGGAGGCTGGTGGGACTATAGGAAGACGGGCTCATTGTAATGGCTGGAATGGAGTACATGGAACGGAGTCAAACACATGGTTTCCATGTTTGATACCGTTCCATTTATTCCAGCAATTACAATGAGCCCGTTCTCCTAGAGCTCTTCCCACCAGCCTCCTCTGATTTGCAGGTACTGTGCCATTACTCTGAGTCAGTGAACTCGATGGGGAAAAATTGGGTCCTCACTCCTTCGTACTCTACATGCCTCACTGCACCTGTTACTAAACTGTTTACTGACAGCCCACGCTGTCACTGTGGAATTGTGTACCCTGTGGCAGTCTAGAGTATAACAGAGACATGTGATCTCAGACTCCTCCCTCCTGCCTCTCCTAGCCCCCCCCCCTACATTCCAGGAGCCTTCTTAACACTAGCATTCTTTACCCTGACAGCTCCCTGGTGGTCTAGTGGTTAGGATTCGGTGCGCTCACCGAGCTGCGGCCTGGGTTTGATTCCTGACCAGGGAATTCACTTTCTAAACCCTCCTACAATGAAGTACAACCCTAGTAAATGGACAAAACGGAAAGCTCTGTCTATTCAGACATGGTCTTAAAAAATCTTCTATTTCAGTGTTTTACTAACTTTATTGCAAAAGCAAATATAATGGTAATGTAAGTCCTTAATGTGTCAGTCATTTTAATTATCTAGTTATTTTTTGCAAAGTACTAAAATCCCTCTTTGTTGAGCAGAGGGCGACCAGAAGTGTTTTATGACGCTGTACCACCCTTTACCAAACCCTACCGTCATTTATTCCTATGTTTCAGCCAACAACATAATCATTGTCAAACTGTTCATCATCAGCACCATGGTCATCATCACATTTAATTTATCCCCACTCCTTCCTTTGAACAGGAGCATTAAGACAAACACACTCATACATCCAAACATACCTGCACTGCTCTGTAGGCTGTACTGTCGGCTCCAAAAGTCACTCACACTCTAGGTCTGTGCTTCTGTCACATTCTCAACATCTGAGCCAAACCAACTGAATGCTACTGTCTAAAGATCTGGGGCACAAAATGAACACTCACAAACATGGTAAGTTCACACAGGGACATTGTCAAAAACAAAGAATGAACACAAAGAACATCCATGGACCAGTGATAACTGGGAACACACACGCCCAAGCTGCACTGTTCTGACCTGTCCTCCCTCTGCAGTCATGTAGAGGTTGAAACAGTTAGAAATGTGAGTGCTGTGGTTATTATAAAACACTGCATCTTTACAGAGCAAAGCCTCCATTGGCACATCAAACCACACCTCCCACATTCCCTTAGTCATGCACGAATGGAAATGTTCACACAGACACACACACTCCACCAACTCCTATAACAGGCCATAGCAGTCAGCCTAGCTGAGGATGAGACAGACACTTTATATATAGAATCTAGATGAGGAATACAATCACGTTTTGATTCGGAAGCATATCAAATGTATTAAAATGTTAAAATGACAGAGGTTTACTTAAAGGCAGGGGAAAACACTGAGTTCAATACCAGGTGCCTGTTCTCTCCGTCTACATCCAACCAAGGTCACCTGCTAAACCACAGAAAAAGTAACACCCATTCACAGCTTAACCAGATGCAGTAATATCATTCTGGACCTCTGAAGAGTCAGTGTGGAACAGAATTAAGAATTAGAATAATAATAGTAATTTAATAGGATCTTTAGTGAAGGGTGCTAGCAATTATACTGCATCACAAACTCAAACCCCCCTATTATAGACCAGTGTTAACAGTTTTCCCAACATCCATATCAAGATTCATTTCCCCAACGAGTGTCACTGAAACACCAGGGATAGATCTATGGTGAAATGTCATATAGACATGGTATGTGCTTAGCTGCAGTAAAATCCTTTCCATGTGTTTCTATTCCCAGTGTACAGGCTGCTGGAGTTCCATGTGAATGTGTAGTAAAGGCAGTCTAATAGGCTCCATGATCTGCAGTCCTCCATGATCCCACCTCCCTACAAAGGCACCCTACTCACTCCACATAGAGACCAATCCCAGACTGCTGTTAGAGGAATCAAGTACAGGTTCCCAGCAGGCTCCAGTCAGGGCAGCAGGGCCTGGAGAGGGAGAGAGTGGGGATGTGAGTGGACACGGGAGTGGGTCAGACCAGGTCAGACTGGGTAGGCCCAGGTCAAACAGGGATCCCCATACGGTGCTTCTTCTTCTTGACCGTCTTGAGGCCAGTGAGTCGGCGCACATCCTCCTCTGACGAGTCGTCCATCTCATCGTCAGCCGAGAACAGGATCTGAGAGAGAGAGATGAGTTTGGAAATTAGACCAAAGGAAGCCACACTGCCTGGATGGATGACACTCAAAGCAACACTGAGTTATGGGTTAAATTAGTTTAATCGCAGTTTAAATGCTCACGGCCGCCAGCAAATTTTCTGTGTCAGCAGAAACTAATCATTTGTCCTCCATCTGCCTCTGTGGGGTGGAAGGATGGGGGTGGGGGCTGGTTGCTTAGGGTAAGAAAGTGCTCACCCTGGTGGCAGTCTGGTATAATACAGCTCTCTCGGAAAGGCTCCTCCCTTTTTTCACACCTTCCATGTAATTCCATATGACATGCATTCAGGCTCAAAACAGAGCTCCCTGGTGGTCTAGTGGTTAGGATTCGGCGCTCTCACCGCCGCGGCCCGGGTTCGATTCCCGGTCAGGGAACACACTTTTCATACAGTCACTGATCAATAGATGACCCAGAGGAAAACGTCTAACTGAAGAAACCAATCTCTAGTCACAATAAAACCACTCAACCTGTAGGGTGAGAAAATACTCACGCTGGTAACAGTCTGTCATCCTACAAAAGTCCTGTATACATACAAACTTTGCTTCTACCAAGGTTTTAGAAACCCAGGTTCTCAAACCCCCAGGTAAGTCTGCAAAGCACATGAACGCCTCATGCTGTGGTAGAACGCTAAAACATTGGAGTCCCTATTGTTTTACTCCAGTAAGAGGCCTGGAAGGTAGAGGCGTGGTCTATAGAAATGTTCATGAGAATCCAGGGTTCACATTCACAGTGACGGCAGACCGAGGTAAAACCAGGATTTGTAGTTGTGTATATAGCTGGGTTTACATCACCCAGACACGGGGCTAAACTGACATCTTTTAGAGACCCCCCCTTCTGTTACACATGCCACACAGCCCAGTGGACAAATGTTCACACTAAAGATACATCTCCCTGGTGGTCTCATGGTTAGGATTCGGTGCTCTCACTGCCGTGGCCTGGGTTAGATTCCCGGTCAGGGAACACACTTTTTAAAAGTCTGAGTTAGGCATTTGTTTCTCAAGTTAGGATTCAACCCTGAATTAATTGGTAAAACGAGAGGTAGGCTATTCAAGAGTGTAAAATAGGTTGTAATAGCCATGTTAACCCAACAGATTCAACACTTGCCCTTATCATAATGATCACCCCTGATGGCAAACTGCTTTAATACAGCCATAATCCCACTGACAGACTCCTCCCATCCAAACAAATAGTCTATCGCCCTCAAATTCAAATCTGTACCTCGAAGCCAGTTCCACTGCTTTATCCCCCCCATTGTTAGGGACTGATTTAGACCTGGGACACCAGGTAGGTGCAATTACCCATCAGGTAGAACAGAAAACCAGCAGGCTCCGGACCTTGCAGGGTAGGATTTGAATACCCCTGGTCTAGTGGATATGTGTGCCTGTCACCACCCTGGTGGTCTAGTGGTTAGGATTTGGCACTCTCACATTTGGTGAGTTGTGGTCACTGGGTTAGGGTTGTCTGACATTCTTAGGAAGTTTATAAAAAGTGTAGTCCCTGACCGTGAATCAAACCTGGGCAACAGCGGTGAGAGCGCCGAATCCTAACCACTAGGGAGATGTGGTGGCAGGAACACATATGCCCCGGACTCTTTGATAGAGGGTAGGAGTCTTTTAGAGAGTGGTATTTGGGTGTAGTATTGAAGCTTGCCATCAGGTTTTTTTTTTTCACATTGTAAACCAATACGTCAGCCTCTTTTACTGAAGCAAAAACTAGCTCCAACTCATCACAATAAAATAAGCCTGTGATAACATAGCTATATGCCCCCTTTTATAATGCGAGAGCTATAAGGTCACTGCTCTGAATCTTTATGTTGACAGACATTATTTCAGCTTGAGGCAGATTACTAAAGCCATCTATGTTACGTGTTCACCTGTACAGCAGTGTTTCTTTAATAGTGGCTTTGGGCCCACTGGTTGATTGCAGATAGCTCCTGTGACTGGAGGAAGTGCTCACAGTCTGGTACACTACACCCAGATGACTATGAGAAACTACTCCCCTGTCACATGCCACAAATTCCATATACTGGTAATTCCATAGGACATGCATTCCTAATATTAGATATAGCTACCTGATGTGGTTAGGATTTGGTGCTCTCACTGCTGTGGCCTGGGTTTGATTCCCAGTCAGGGAACACACTTAACTCCTAGAATCCACTGTCACTAAACAAGGTCAATGGTGCTATGGGTGACCCATGAGTCACCATCTGTAACTGAAGAAACCAATTACCTAGCTATCACAATCAGCTCAACATTTGATACCAAAGCAACTCACTACTACCATTTATGATAAGAAATGTGGTGCTCCGGATTCAGAAAAAAACACTCCTTATAATGATGGACAGTTTGTTTTGATAGTTTCTGATTCATAAGAAATCGCCCTGCTCAAGGCAGACTTAAATGACTTCATGCATGAATGTTTGTGAGTGTGGTGGTCGTCTCTGGTCTGTGGAGCAGATCGCAGGGCCCACCTGGTTTACAGGCCTGTAAAGTGACTGGCCATGGGCAAAGGGTGGAGTGATTCACAGCCCAGAGACAGGCTTCTGCTGGTGCTGGGCAAGTTTCTCTACACAGCCAGGGGAGGTCAGGGAGGATGTAGCTTAGCCCAGTGCCTACGTCAGCCTGAGGCAATGGAGGAGAGAGAGGCCACACAGGGCTTGCGAGGAGAGGGCTTTTGGGGTAAGGAGGAGAGGTGGACGAGGCTCAGAATCAAATCTTAGGACTTAGTCTATATTCCTCCTAAGGATTTTCCAGAGCTCTTTCCCAAAACCAGCTTTTCCAGTGCTTTAGTGTGTGTAATGTACACTGCGTGTACAAAACATTAAGAACACCTGCTCATTCCATGAGAGACTGACCAGGTGAATCCAGGTGAAAGCTATGATCTCTTATTGATCCAATTAAAATCCACTTCAATCAGTGTTTATTGCAACTCAATATTAGGAAGGTGTTCCTAATGTTTGGTATACTCAGTGTATGTGAATAGGTGTATGAACGGTTTTGTGATTGTGTGAATGGTTGTGTGATTAGGCCTTGGTCTTTTACTAAGCATTCTGTGTCCATGACTTTATAAATGGCCCTGTGTCCAGGTCTTACCTCAGACTCTGCGTCGTCGTGGGAGAGTGCCCGTCTGTAGCGCACCTTACTGTTGCCCCGCACGTCCTCCCCCACCTCTCGCTCCTCCAGCTTGGCTTTTGTCCGCCCCTTCTTCATCAGGAAGTTATCTACCACCCAAAACATCAGGGCCTGAGGAAAACATACAGTACACAGCTCAATGAGCAAGTACAACATCAGACACTAGACAGTTTGATGATCACACAAACATCACAAGCCTAAATGGCTGAAATCCGTAGACATAAACATCACATCAAATGCACTTAGTTGTAGCAAACAACAACCTATGAAGTAGAACCATTACATTTCAAATGTCGGTCAAGTTTGCTGCCAAGTAACTGACCCTCATTAACCGGTCAAAAAACGGTTGCATTTTTTCCAAACAGTAAAATGACTAGACCAACAGAAAATACTATTAGAAATCTGTATATAATGACGAAATGCTTATGTTTCCGCCCTAACAATGGGTGTTGGCCCAAGGCAGGAATGCAGGCGACAAGCTTAGGCCCAAAATAAGCCCATAGAAACCTATTGGGCTCATTTTGGACAGATTTTGGCGAGAGTGAAACCTCTCGCTTTGTCTCTTCCACTCTGATCCTATGCATTCATACAAGGACCAGACATTTTTCATTAAGAGCTTAATGGAAACATGCAACAATAGCAAGCCTATCGTATTATAGTTCAAAAGGCTATTATTGAACATACAACTCCTGTAATGAAGCAGCTAATAAAACGTCATTTTCAAACATTTGCGGAAAACACCATTCTAAACCTACTTCGAGCAGTTGTGACAGAGATTAAAATCTCAGTTAGAAATGTAGAAAGAGGGGGAATGTAATAGCAACAACTATGATGGGTTGCTAATATGGATTGTGCCTTTGGCTTCTGGACAACGAAAGAAAGTTGAAATGAATTAGAACAGGAGAGAAATGCTGGTTAATGGCATGAGGAAGTCTTACCAAATAATTGCCTCCACGTTTCTACGGATCGATTTTCGTAAGGTTACTTTGAAGCAAGGTAAGACATGCCTCATAATTTGAAGTAAAGTAAAACTATCAGGTTTCAAACAATTATACTGCCTCGAGCTCACATTGCAAAGTGGTGGGTGACGAGCTGACAGTCAACGGTAGGCAGGCTATAGACTAAACACCTGAATGGCGAATGGGAGGCGCGCTTTAATTACAAGTTGAGATTGAGAAATAAAAAGAGCTCCTTTTAATCGTGGCCACCAAAGTTTAACACGCGATTGCATTTAGAATTGTTAATTGTTGCGCAATGACTGGGCTTACAAAAGCAGGTCTCACTCCACTGCCTACAGACTTTTTGAGGAACTACTCTCGCGCTGTCTGACAGGTGGTAGGCTATTCCGCTCCTCAAACTAGGCTCTGTATGCTGTGCGTGTGATAAATAATATACATGACGACTAACGAAGATACACACGTGCCAATTTAATTCCACAAAATTACCTTATAGACCGATAAGCAAGACCAGTCAAATGTATTTTCAGCAACTAACCGATTAACGGTTAACCATTAACATTCCTACATTTATTTTCAATTGAGCCCTGCCTCACGGAGGCACTGCACACTTAACTTACGTTAACGAAGAACGGGACGATGAGCATGACGATGGCCAGCTCCAACTGAGGGTTGTTTATGGGGTTCAGGAGAGCCAGCTGTGACACACACATACATATGAGCACAACATGCAAACACATAGGACAGCAAATAAACAGTATACAAACACACACACCGCAGTTAAAACGATAGAAACAGTTTACAGTAATGTTAGTACTCATACACTTTCCACAGTCATAATATAACTGAACTGACACAATGGTCAGGAACCTACCCATTATGCCCCCTACTCACCTTCTTCCATTGGGGGAGGAGTAAGACCAGGATGATGAGGACCTTCTCAAACATCATGATGAGGATGTAGAGAGCACACTGGCCCGCCCACGCAGTACACTGCCCTGGTTCTCCTGCGCACACACACACAGTTACTAAGGAAAGATGGACTCATGACCTATGGACTAGACACACAATCCAATAGACAGAAACAAACAAGCAACACAGACAAATACCAACCCACAGAAATACCCAGACAGATGGCAGTTAACTGGAACTCTACAGTGCCTTGCAAAAGTATTCACCCCCTTGGCGTTTTCCCTATTTTGTTGCATTACAACCTGTAATTTAAATTAATTTTTATTTGGATTACATGTAATGGACATACACAAAATAGTCCAAATTGGTGAAGTGAAATTAAATAAATAAATAACGGAAAGGCGGTGCGTGCATATGTATTCACCCCCTTTGCTATGAAGACCCTAAATAAGATCTGGTGCAACCAATTACCTTCAGAAGTCACATAATTAGTTAAATAAAGACTACCTGTGTGCAATCTAAGTGTCACATGATCTGTCACATGATCTCAGTATATACATTGCTCAAAAAAATAAAGGGAACACTAAAATAACACATCCTAGATCTGAATGAATGAAATAATCTTATTAAATACTTTTTTCTTTACATAGTTGAATGTGCTGACAACAAAATCACACAAAAATTATCAATGGAAATCAAATTTATCAACCCATGGAGGTCTGGATTTGGAGTTACCCTCAAAATTAAAATGGAAAACCACACTACAGGCTGATCCAATTTTGATGAAATGTCCTTAAAACAAGTCAAAATGAGGCTCAGTAGTGTGTGTGGCCTCCACGTGCCTGTATGACCTCCCTACAATGCCTGGGCATGCTCCTGATGAGGTGGCGGATGGTCTCCTGAGGGATCTCCTCCCAGACCTGGACTAAAGCATCCGCCAACTCCTGGACAGTCTGTGGTGCAACGTGGCGTTGGTGGATGGAGCGAGACATGATGTCCCAGATGTGCTCAATTGGATTCAGGTCTGGGGAACGGGCGGGCCAGTCCATAGCATCAATGCCTTCCTCTTGCAGGAACTGCTGACACACTCCAGCCACATGAGGTCTAGCATTGTCTTGCATTAGGAGGAACCCAGGGCTAACCGCACCAGCATATGGTCTCACAAGGGGTCTGAGGATCTCATCTCGGTACCTAATGGCAGTCAGGCTACCTCTGGCGAGCACATGGAGGGCTGTGCGGCCCCCCAAAGAAATGCCACCCCACACCATGACTGACCCACCGCCAAACCGGTCATGCTGGAGGATGTTGCAGGCAGCAGAACGTTCTCCACGGCGTCTCCAGACTCTGTCACATGTGCTCAGTGTGAACCTGTTTTCATCTGTGAAGGGCACAGGGCGCCAGTGACGAATTTGCCAATCTTGGTGTTCTCTGGCAAATGCCAAACGTCCTGCACGGTGTTGGGCTGTAAGCACAACCCCCACCTGTGGACGTCGGGCCCTCATACCACCCTCATGGAGTCTGTTTCTGACCGTTTGAGCAGACACATGCACATTTGTGGCATGCTGGAGGTCATTTTGCAGGGCTCTGGCAGTGCTCCTCCTGCTCCTCCTTGCACAAAGGCGGAGGTAGCAGTCCTGCTGCTGGGTTGTTGCCCTCCTACGGCCTCCTCCACGTCTCCTGATGTACTGGCCTGTCTCCTGGTAGCGCCTCCATGCTCTGGACACTACGCTGACAGACACAGCAAACCTTCTTGCCACAGCTCGCATTGATGTGCCATCCTGGATGAGCTGCACTACCTGAGCCACTTGTGTGGGTTGTAGACTCCGTCTCATGCTACCACTAGAGTGAAAGCACAGCCAGCATTCAAAAGTGACCAAAACATCAGCCAGGAAGCATAGGAACTGAGAAGTGGTCTGTGGTCACCACCTGCAAAACCAGTCCTTTATTGGGGGTGTCTTGCTAATTGCCTATAATTTCCACCTGTTGTCTATTCCATTTGCACAACAGCATGTGAAATTTATTGTCAATCAGTGTTGCTTCCTAAGTGGACAGTTTGATTTCACAGAAGTGTGATTGACTTGGAGTTACATTGTGTTGTTTAAGTGTTCCCTTTATTTTTTTGAGCAGTGTATATATCTGTTCTGAAAGGCCCCAGAGTCTGCAATACCACTAAGCAAGGGGCAACACCAAGCAACCGGCACCATGAAGACCAAGGAGCTCTCCAAACAGGTCAGGGACAAAGTTGTGGAGAAGTACAGATCAGGGTTGGGTTATAAAAAAATATCCGAAACTTTCAACATCCCACGGAGCACCATTAAATCCATTATTAAAAAATGGAAAGAATATGGCACCACAACAAACCTGCCAAGAGAGGGCCGCCCACCAAAACTCACGGACCAGGCAAGGAGGGCATTAATCAGAGAGGCAACAAAGAGACCAAAGATAACCCATAAGGAGCTGCAAAGCTCCACAGCAGAGATTGGAGTATCTGTCCATAGGACCACTTTAAGCCGTACACTCCACAGAGCTGGCCTTTATGGAAGAGGCCAGAAAAATGCCATTGCTTAAAGAAAAAAATAAGCAAACACGTTTAGTGTTCGCCAAAAGGCATGTGGGAGACTCCCCAAACATATGGAAGAAGGTAATCTGGTCAGATGAGACTAAAATTGAGCTTTTTGGCCATCAAGGAAAACGCTATGTCTGGCGCAAACCCAACACCTCTCATCACCCCGAGAAGCATGGTGGTGGCAGCATCATGCTGTGGGGATGTTTTTCATCGGCAGGGACTGGGAAACTGGTCAGAATTGAAGGAATGATGGATGGCGCTAAATACAGGGAAATTCTTGAGGGAAACCTGCTTCAGTCTTACAGAGATTTGAGACTGGGCCGGAGGTTCACCTTCCAGCAGGACAATGACCCTAAGCATACTGCTAAAGCAACACTTGAGTGGTTTAAGGGGAAACATTTAAATGTCTTGGAATGGCCTAGTCAAAGCCCAGACCTCAATCCAATTGAGAATCTGTGGTATGACTTAAAGATTACTGTACACCAGCAGAACCCATCCAACTTGAAGGAGCTGGAGCAGTTTTGCCTTGAAGATTGGGCATAAATCCCAGTGGATAGATGTGCCAAGCTTATAGAGACATGCCCCAAGAGACTTGCAGCTGTAATTGCTGCAAAAGGTGGCTCTACAAAGTATTGCCTTTGGGGGGGGTGAATAGTTATGCACACTCAAGTTCTGTTTTTTTGTCTTATTTCTTGTTCGTTTCACAAGAAAAAATATTTTGCATCTTCAAAATCTATTTTAATTCCAGGTTGTAAGGCAACAAAATAGGAAAAATGCGAAGGGGGTTGAATACTTTCGCAAGCCACTGAATCTTCCACTTACAGGGGCAATCTGCAGTTGCTACAGGCCACACAGTTTCTTAAAACTGCTTTGTTGGTTAAGGGCTTGTAAGTAAGCATTTCACGTAAGGTCTACACCTGTTGTATTCGGCACATGTAGCAAATAACATTTGATTTGAGGACTTAGAAATGATATCCATTGAATCTTGAAAAACAAATTCTAAATGCCTCGGTTTAACTGTCATACCCCATCAGAACCCAATATATAAGCTTGTTTTACTCCAATGTTTGTAAACAATATATGTGTGAACAAACACTACATAGCCTCAAAACATGGTTAAAACCATCCAAAGCTCTGTCTATGAATTTGAGAGTGGTTACATTTCTCCAGGTCTACTGCGGATTACCCCTTTAAATCAAAGCACCAGGGAAAGGTTTCCATAAACTCTGCCTTTGGGTAAACAAGTTAACAGTGATCGACTATGTTTGATCTGGATGACATTGCAGTAGTGCACGAGGCAGCCACTCCCCTCTTCTGGACACCATGTGTACTACAGGGTGAAATTCTCTCTCATCCACACTGACAAACACACACACACCCTCACCATATTCTCCGAAGCGTAGAGCGTCCCACTGCCTCCACTCTATGATAGCACTGACGGCCCTCACCCCGGCATAGATCAGCAGCATTCCAAGAGACGCATCCAGGAGAAAGTTAATGAGGTAACTGAGGAAGAGAGAGGAGACATTATGCACTTCAAGGTTGAGGTGGACACAATGTTATAGAGACAATACTGAACAAAAATATAAACGCAACATGCAACAATTTCAACGATTTTACGGAGTTACATTTCATAGAAGGAAATCAGTCATTTGAAATAAATTCATTAAGCCCTAATCTATGGATTTCACATGACTGGGCAGGGGCACAGCCATAGGTGAGCCTGGGAGGGCATAGGCCCACCCACTTGGAAGCCATGCCCAGCCAATCAGAATTTGTTTTTCCACACAAAAGGGCTTTATTACAGACAGAAATACTCCTCAGCAACCCCTCCTCAGAAGATCCTGCAGGTGAAGAAGCCGGATGTGGAGGTCCTGGGCTGGCGTGGTTACACGTGGTCTGCGGTTGTGAGGCCGGTTGGATGTACTGCCAAATTCTCTAAAACGACGTTAAATTATCTGGCAACAGCTCTGTTGGACATTGCTGCAGTCAGCATGCTAACTGCACGCTCCCTTAAAACTTGAGACATCTGTGGCATTATGTTGTGTGACAAAACTCCACATTTTAAAGTGGCCTTTTATTTTCCCCAGTGCAAGGTGCACCTGTGTAATGATCATGCTGTTTAATCAGCTTCTTGATATGCTACTACTATCAGGTGGGTGGATTATCTTGGCAAAGGAGAAATGCTCACTAACAGGGATGTAAACACATTTGTGCACACAATGTGCGTATGGAACATTTCTGGGATCTTTTATTTCAGCTCATGAAACATGGGACCAACACTTTACATGTTGCATTTACAGTGGGGAGAACAAGTATTTGATACACTGACGATTTTGCAGGTTTTCCTACTTACAAAGCATGTAGAGGTCTGTAATTTGTATTATAGGTACACTTCAACTGTGAGAGACGGAATCTAAAACAAAAATCCAGAAAATCACATTGTATGATTTTTAAGTAATTAAATTGCATTTTATTGCATGACATAAGTATTTGATACATCAGAAAAGCAGAACTTAATATTTGGTACAGAAACCTTTGTTTGCAATTACAGAGATCATACGTTTCCTGTAGGTCTTGACCAGGTTTGCACACACTGCAGCAGGGATTTTGGCCCACTCCTCCATACAGACCTTCTCCAGATCCTTCAGGTTTCGGGGTTGTCGCTGGGCAATACAGACTTTCAGCTCCCTCCAAAGATTTTCTATTGGGTTCAGGTCTGGAGACTGGCTAGGCCACTCCAGGACCTTGAGATGCTTCTTACGGAGCCACTCCTTAGTTGCCCTGGCTGTGTGTTTCGGGTCGTTGTCATGCTGGAAGACCCAGCCACGACCCATCTTCAATGCTCTTACTGAGGGAAGGAGGTTGTTGGCCAAGATCTCGCGATACATGGCCCCATCCATCCTCCCCTCAATACGGTGCAGTCGTCCTGTCCCCTTTGCAGAAAAGCATCCCCAAAGAATGATGTTTCCACCTCCATGCTTCACGGTTGGGATGGTGTTCTTGGGGTTGTACTTATCCTTCTTCTTCCTCCAAACACGGCAAGTGGAGTTTAGACCAAAAAGCTCTATTTTTGTCTCATCAGACCACATGACCTTCTCCCATTCCTTCTCTGGATCATCCAGATGGTCATTGGCAAACTTCAGACGGGCCTGGACATGCGCTGCCTTGAGCAGGGGGACCTTGCGTGCGCTGCAGGATTTTAATCCATGACAGCGTAGTGTGTTACTAATGGTTTTCTTTGAGACTGTGGTCCCAGCTCTCTTCAGGTCATTGACCAGGTCCTGCTGTGTAGTTCTGGGCTGATCCCTCACCTTCCTCATGATCATTGATGCCCCACGAGGTGAGATCTTGCATGGAGCCCCAGACCGAGGGTGATTGACCGTCATCTTGAACGTCTTCCATTTTCTAATAATTGCGCCAACAGTTGTTACCTTCTCACCAAGCTGCTTGCCTATTGTCCTGTAGCCCATCCCAGCCTTGTGCAAGTCTACAATTTTATCCCTGATGTCCTTACACAGCTCTCTGGTCTTGGCCATTGTGGAAAGGTTGGAGTCTGTTTGATTGAGTGTGTGGACAGGTGTCTTTTATACAGGTAACGAGTTCAAATAGGTGCAGTTAATACAGGTAATGAGTGGAGAACAGGAGGGCTTCTTAAAGAAAAACTAACAGGTCTGTGAGAGCCGGAATTCTTACTGGTTGGTAGGTGATCAAATACTTACGTCATGCAATAAAATGCAAATTAATTACTTAAAAATCATACCATGTGATTTTCTGGATTTTTGTTTTAGATTCCGTCTCTCACAGTTGAAGTGTACCTATGATAAAAAATTACAGACCTCTACATGCTTTGTAACTAGGAAAACCTGCAAAATCTGCAGTGTATCAAATACTTGTTCTCCCCACTGTATATGTATAGATACACACAGACTATACTACATACACAGACTATACTATATACACACAAATACAGAGGCACAAAGACGGACAGACAGACAAACACAATGTCTGACAGACACACACACACACACACATACATACATACAGAGACACACTCACAGTGAGCAGGGGTCCTCCTCTGTGAGGTCAGACAGGTAGATGTTGGCAAAGTGAATGAATAGCATACCAATGGCCTGTTTGGAGGTGTCCAGGAACCTGGTAGAGTTGCCGGGTAGAGGAGGGCCCTTTAAGAACTCTTGAGCATTCAAGTTATTTCAATAGCTCAACATGACATTAGAAAAATTCACAATTTGTCTTGTGTTTATCTTTGTTGCGTTTCTTGGTTAATAGCAATATTGAAGAGGATAAGCTTGAATACTCTGGTTGGAAGTGGGAGTGAGACGGCTGCCGTCTTACCAGATCCTCCAGGGTCTTCGCTCATGCTTGGGCTCCCTGAAGCGCTTCACTGTGGACAGGACACAGAGAGTCACATATAGGACTGCCGCTCTCACACACCCACGACAGCAGTGGGATTAATCAGTATCCCTAAATTCAATCATTCTATTAATGTAAATTAATTAAGGCCAGCTCCAGTCTGAACTTAAATAGGCTTTACACTTCCATCATCAAGTTTAGTATGATGGGCAACATCTCAGCACAAAGTGTAACAGGCCTATTTCTATGAATATGGACAGTGTGATGGGAAATGCAGTTCAGAGTCCCCTTTAACTAGGCTACATTTAGCATCATAGCCTAACCCCTAACTAATAGACTTAAGACTGAAGCAAACAATGTTCATTAGGCTATATTCCCTTAACAAGTCAGCTATTGCGATGCCATGTTTACACGAGGTGAGACCATAGAGGAAGGGTGAATGTTAAGAGGAAGTGGCAGACTACTGTACTGTACATTACGTACTAAAATTGTAGTCAAGCTGCTGTCACTGCTTGTCACTAATGTGCCGATCATGATCATGATTATCCGCCAAATCTCCCTTGCCCTGTGAGCAGAGGAAATACTTGGGTTGTATCTTATGAGCTGGAAGAAATGTGCCATGTAGTGCATTTGGCACTGTAATCAAACCCATAGTTAGATCAGAGGACCCGCTAACAGTATGTGACACCAGGCAGGCATTGTCATTTTACATGTCTCACTGTCCTGGTCACATTTCAGCATTATCACCTGGGGTACCAACCTGGTCCTGGAAGAATGGGGATGATCATAATAATAAGGTGGGTGCTTATATTTGTCCTGTTCCACACATGTACAAGTGTGTATTAATGCACATGTTTGATTGGAAATGTGTTTTTTGCATATCCGAACGCTCCCTGAGACACCCTCGGAGAGTTGGGTCACGGCCAGGGTCTGCTAACGGCTACCCTGGAGCAATAAGGGTTCAATGCCTTACTCAAGGGCATCGTTAGATTTTTCACATCGTTGGCTCTGGGATTCGAACAAGCAACCTTTCGGTTACTGGCCCGACTGTAGGTTGGAGTGTGTTCAAACACAAAAGCCTACATGAAAGACAAACTACCTGTCTCAGTGACTACTACTCTGGGGTTTAGGCGCTTATGTGTACAAGGCGCAAGCCCTTTTTTCTAAAGTCTAGGCCTACACTTTAATTAATCCCTGTGTGAGTGATGCAAGCGTGTGCATTCTGAACACAATGTAATGGCTGATAAATAATGCTCTGGCTGTTCCAGACAATAGTCAGCTTGTTTCCATGCCTGCCCTCTCCTAACCTCCATTACACATGATTTATTGCTGGGTGAGAGAAAAGTGGTTTAATGATTTATGACTAATCTACCGGACATACCCCATCCTCAATTTGGGTTTAAGATATGACACCACTAGACAACAATATCCTAATGTGTGTATTAAACACTTTACTGTGCGCGTGTCTGTGTAAAGTATGTGTGTCTATGTCACCTGTCAAAAGGGTAGCTAGTTTTCCTAGTGTATTGCCCAAACAAATGTTTACAGGCGAATTTGCATATGGGTATGCTGTGACTTCAGGCTCCCTCAGACTATTATGTTGTGTTGAGTGTGTAACTACTGACACACCCTGCGTGTAGGCTGGGCTGTGTGAATGTGATGCAGGCCTAGATTCAGGCCGACTCAATTCCTGCTGAGAACGCTGCCTCAGGCATCATCGCTGCTCTGAGAGCTGAAAATGCCTCACCTCTTGCTGTTGTTGCTGTGAGGCTCCTCTCTACCAGGGCAACACTGACTCAGAGGTCAAAGAGGCACTCAACTCCTCTCTACCATGGCCAAAAATGAACACTATGAGGATGGGACAACACATTTCACACTGTATAATCCAGTCTTGAGACAAAATGTATAGGTAATGACTGCCAGTGATTGCCAGTAATTATTGACAATCAAAAACAGACTTCCATTCTAAACAAGTAGCCTAAACAGGTTATCCAATTTCAACACTGCACAGTGAAATTCCATTTTACAGTAGGCCTAACAGCACAGAACAAACGACCATAAGTCAATTTTTCAGTCAGAGTGGGCGTCTGGTTGGCTGTACTCACACATCAGCGTACTGAAGGCCACCATCGCTAGCAGGCCTTGCAGGAAGATGCCGAAAGAGTCCATCAAGTCACCATTCTCGCAGCCACGGGTGTCCGCATTTCGCGTGGGGGGGCCAGACATTGGCGTGTTGGAAGAAGGCATAGCAGACAGAACCACTCCCGGGACAGCCACGTCCCCGGATTGGGAAAGAAGACTCACCCCGCTAACCGCCATAGTAGACCAGTTTAAAGGTTTGTTGGCGCGATGGCATATACCGTAAATAAGCAATAAAGTCAATTTACATGTCTCCTCCACACAGAATGGCCTTCTTCGTCATCCAGTTGTTGTTAGCTGGCAATCGATTAGTTATGCAGGACAGCTATTTGCAAAAAAAAAAGGATAACTGCGGATCCATATCGTCTCATTTCATGTGTGGCCAGTGTCAGCAAACATATCCCAGTTGTTGATCATCTACAGTATCATACATACCATGTATGTCATACTCATATAAGTAACATCTCTTTGGTTTACTGACAAATTAAAATCCAAGCTGTGGCTTGCATAAATGAGCTATCGATAGCTAACTAACATAACTAGCTACACAGCAGGCAAGCATGGACAATGTTTAGCTATTACCTCACGCATAACACAATTAAATGCATGTAGCGACGCAGTGTTTACGAACGGAAACATTAGTAACAAAGTTGCAAAAGGAGTCATCCCAAGGCATGTTCTGACTTCATGTCATTTTAGCACAGAGTTCCTACGTTAAACCTTTTAGCGGTGCGCCACTGCTTTACCCTGTGACAAAATCAATTATATAAAAACATAGCGTCAGGGACAAACCACCAGCATACCAGGGCAAGTGATGCTAACAGTAGCTTAGCTAGCTAGTCTGGTTCACGTACTTGCAATGGATCCCTCGTGCATGTATGAAAGGCATGATATTCTCACGACTTCGGATTTACTACTTTTTCCATTTGAAAAATCTGTTTTGCATAAAACATGGGAACGACCAATAATTTGCTCAATGACCAGAGTACATAGCTACCACTGGAATTTCCAGCTGCATCCCTTCTGTGTCCAGACTAAAGCCCAGGGACATATTCATTAAGCCAATTCTGTTGCAAAACGTTTCCTAAACGGAAGAAAATAGAACAAAACGGGGCGGGACTTACCTGAATTTGTCCAATAGAAACTCTCGTTTTCGTTGCAAAACGCAACTGTTTGGACTAATGATTACACCCCAGACTGCCCACTCATGTTGACATGACGTAAAAGTTCATGTGATCGACGTGACACAACGGTATCATGGGAAGTGTAGCTTGGAAAGATCTTGAACTGTGTTGAACTCATAGAGCTCGCCAGTTTGAAGTCCTAAAACCCAGAAATGACTTATCTCTGGTTCGTTCAGCCATTCCTATGGGGAAAATGAATGGGGAATGTGGAAAGAATAGGGTTTTGGGATAAACGCTGAAAATTTGGTCTGGGGTTAACACAGACTTAGGAAATCTTATATGTTTTGTTCTATGAGATAATATCAGTCAGTTAACATGACCTTTATGAATTATGAAGCTTTATGTGTTTTAAAATTATTACATAAATGCTTGAAAATTGACATAAAGTGACGTTATCTGATGAAGATGATCTCATAGAACAAAACGTATAAGACCTCCTAAGCCTGTGTTTACAACAGACCTTATTTTCGTCATTTATCCAAAAACCCTACAAAAACTAAATTTTCCCATAGGCTTTGTCCAATGAACCATGGCAGAGTTAGTGCCTACAAAAATACGCCATTGCTATTGCTGTCTATTGGGATGAGATTCAGGCTTTTATTCCACATTCTTTTAAAATAGCAATCATACTCAACAAACATATAGACAAAATCAAATTAATAAATTCCACAGTTTTATCTCCTGTAAGAGTATTAGATCTCAATGGCAGAGACAGGTAAATGAGGGGAAATAAAAACACAAACACAGCAAAGACAGCTAGAATGGCTCACGAAAATAAAACACACACACAGTAGTCCACCAATGGTTGTAGTTAAAAGGGAAAACTATACAAATCTATAAAGGGTCACAAAGGGTCACAATATTTGGTTTATACTTATTTGAATTTTGCTCCAAAACCACATACATCTTAATGTTTTTACTACAGGCCCTAGATAATGTCTTCAATATGATTAGATGTTAAAATCCCTCTGAGAAGACGAAAAGACTGTCAAACAGTGGGGATTGCTCTTTCCAATCTCAAATGTATGTCTACATTTTGAAATAAGGCCTTTGCACAGATACTTTCAAAGCAAATATGTTTAGTAGAAAACCAGGCTATAACCATTAATCACCCTGTTGCACTAGAAGAGCTTTTAAATACGTACACTATATACAAGTACACCTTGCTATGTACACTTTGCATACTGCGATATAGTACATGGTTTATTTGTCTTTGTGCTTACATCCTTGCATTGTCAATGCTTGTGAAGTTGATTAAATGAAACCAGGAGTCATTTTGAGACTGTGGGTGAGATAAACCTGAATATAAATATCCATGTTAAGTTGTCTTTACCTAGAATACAGTGAGGCAGAACCCTTTCTGACCATTACACAGTAAAAAACAGCAAAGAAACATGAAACAATGAAAGTCTCATTCCATCTTATGTCCATCCATGACTGCTGCTGTTGTGCTGGGTCTGGGTGCAGGGTCCAAAGGATGTCCAGTTGTAAATCAGTTACGGAGTCATTTAATGTTACTGACTGTATGTAATGTTTATTTAGTTTAGAACCCTCAGCTATGATGCAAATTTCTGGTAGAATTCCAGTTTGACCCTTTCGATATGGTGACACAGCTTTATGGCTGGTCCCAGTTTCAGCTCCATACACTCCTGTAGTGTGGGCAGGTTGAGCAGAAGCAGAGCCTGTCCATCAATCTCCTGAAAACACAAGCACGGCCATGGGGTTAGACAACAATGGTAATGGATTTAAGCCACACTGTACACCAGTGCTTGACTTGGGATGGAAGAAGTGCAGGAGCTGTCTTTTTCCAAGTCGGTCCATTAGACTATGTTTACCGAAATTCACAAATGACATTATGCTATAGAGACCTCTGATTATTCACTGTTATCCATGACCTTTAACCACATTTTCATGACAATTATTATAGCCTACATGAAAAGGTTAAGCATTATTGACACTGGAAAGCTGCTGCGTCTGATCCTGCCGTTGTGCCCTTGATCAAGGCACCTAGCCTCCCCACATAGAACTGCACTGTTAGTCACATGTTGTCAACATGTGGTCAACCCTCCATCTGGAGAGCTCCTGGGTGTGCAGGCTTGGCTTTTTCAACATTACAAGCAAATACCTTTGTCTTTATACAATTCCCTCATTCAATAAGGGGGAATTGTGGCTGATATGTCGTTTTTTAATTGATTGATCATATTTAAAAGTGTGCTTTCATGAATTACATTAACAACAATTATGAAAATAATTTCTATTACTTTTCATGACTTTACAAACCCTCATTTGACAACTTAGAACAGCGCATCATGTTATTCAGGCTGGTACATTTTCAATCTGTCGGCTCGTTATCTCTGATTGGGAGCCATATTTAAACTGTGTGTTTTCACTTTGTGGTTGTGGGTTTTTGTTCCATTGTTCTATATTCAGTCGGTGTAACTGAGGACGTCATTGAGTCGTGTTTTGTTTTGTCGTGTGTTTCCACATTAAAGTCATGTTTCTTGGACACGCTGCGCCTTGGTCATACTTAGACGACATAGACCCTCGTGACAGAAAAACCCACCATCAAAGGACCAAGCAGCGTGTCCAGGAGCCTAGGGTCTGGACATGGGAGGAGATTTTGGACGGAAAAGGGTCCTGGACTTGGGAGGAGATCCTGGATGGGATGGATCGCCGTCCATGGAGCGAAACTGTGGAGAGGCGACGGAGAGAGGAGCAACGGCGTCGGCAGGGCCATCGTCGGAAGAACGAGAGGCAACCCCAAGAAATTTTTGGGGGGGGGCACATGGCTTGGGCGGCTGGGCAGCAGGAGGCTGCCACAGGTAGACGTGGAGAGAAGGCTACCGGAGTACGGGAGCCATTGGCGAGTAGAGGGAGGGAAGTTGTTGTGGCACGGCGTGAGAGACTGAAGTGTGTTACCAGTCCGGTCCGGCCCGTTCCTGAGCCCCGGTTAAGGCCAGTGGTGTGTGTTCCCAGTACGGACCGGCCTGTGTCTACTCCACGCGTCAAGCCCACGGTGTGCGTCGCCAGCCCAGCCCGGCCTGTTCCTGCGCCACGTACGAAGCCTACGGTGTGCGTCGCCAGCCCAGCCCGGCCTGTCCCTGCGCCACGTAGGAAGCCTACGGTGTGCGTCGCCAGCCCAGCCCGGCCTGTTCCTGCGCCACGTACGAAGCCTACGGTGTGCGTCGCCAGCCCAGCCCGGCCTGTCCCTGCGCCACGTAGGAAGCCTACGGTGTGCGTCGCCAGCCCAGCCCGGCCTGTTCCTGCGCCACGTACGAAGCCTACGGTGTGCGTCGCCAGCCCAGCCCGGCCTGTCCCTGCGTCACGTAGGAAACCTACGGTGTGCGTCGCCAGCCCAGCCCGGCCGGTTCCTGTGCCACGTACGGAGCCTACGGTGTGCGTCGCCAGCCCGGCCCGGCCTGTTCCTGCCACTCGCACCAAACCAGGGGTGCGAGTCGCCAGCCTGGTCCAGCCCGTTCCGGCTATTCGCACCAAGCCTCCTGTGTGTCCCCAGAGTCCTGTGCGTCCTGTTGCTGCTCCCCGCACTAGCCCTGAGATGCGTGTCCTCAGCCCGGGACCACCAGTTCCGGCACCACGCACTAGGCCTTGTGTGCGTCCCCAGGATCCGTCAGCCAGCCATGAGCAGCCAGATCCGTCAGCCAGCCATGAGCAGCCAGATCCGTCAGCCAGCCATGAGCAGCCAGATCCGTCAGCCAGCCATGAGCAGCCAGATCCGTCAGCCAGCCATGAGCAGCCAGATCCGTTAGCCAGCCATGAGCAGCCAGATCCGTCAGCCAGCCATGAGCAGCCAGATCCGTCAGCCAGCCATGAGCAGCCAGATCCGTCAGCCAGCCATGAGCAGCCAGATCCGTCAGCCAGCCATGAGCAGCCAGATCCGTCAGCCAGCCATGGGCAGCCAGATCCGTCAGCCAGCCATGAGCCGTCCAGCCAGGATCCGCCAGAGCCGTCCAGCCGGGATCCGCCAGAGCCGTCCAGCCGGGATCCGCCAGAGCCGTCCAGCCGGGATCCGCCAGAGCCGTCCAGCCGGGATCCGCCAGAGCCGTCCAGCCGGGATCCGCCAGAGCCGTCCAGCCGGGATCCGCCAGAGCCGTCCAGCCGGGATCCGCCAGAGCCGTCCAGCCAGGATCCGCCAGCCAGCCAGGATCCACCAGAGCCAGCCAGCCAGGATCCGCCATTTAGTCCGGTGCTGCCCCTTAGCTCGGTGTTGCTCCTTATCCTGGTGCTGTCCCTTATCCTGGTGCTGCCCCTTAGTCCGGTGCTGTCCCTTAGCTCGGTGCTGCTCCTTATCCTGGTGCTGTCCCTTAGTCCGGTGCTGCCCCTTAGTCCGGTGCTGCCTCTTAGTCCGGTGCTGCCCCTTAATCCAGGTGGGTTAGGTTGTAGGGTGGTCAAATGGAGGAGGCTACTAAAGCGGGTAGTGACTATGGTGGGGTGGGGACCACGACCAGTGCCAGAGCCGCCTCCGAGGAGCAACACCCACCCAGCCCTCCCCATTTTTTGGGTTAGGCGCGGTCGGAGTCCGCGCCTTTGGGGGGGGGTACTGTCACACTCTGGCTCCGGGACTGTGTGTTAGAGCCAGGGTGTATTTCATTTGGTGGTGTTGGGGATGGGTGTGTTTCATTTGTTTGTGTTTAGTGGTGATTGGTCAATGACTCCCAATCGGAGGTAACGAGTGTCAGCTGTCGGCTCGTTATCTCTGATTGGGAGCCATATTTAAACTGTGTGTTTTCACTTTGTGGTTGTGGGTTTTTGTTCCATTGTTCTATATTCAGTCGGTGTAACTGAGGACGTCATTGAGTCGTGTTTTGTTTTGTCGTGTGTTTCCACATTAAAGTCATGTTTCTTGGACACGCTGCGCCTTGGTCATACTTAGACGACATAGACCCTCGTGACATCGAGAGAATGATTCTGTGTGTGTATGTGTGTGTGTGTCTGTGTGTGATTAATACCTGATCCAGGAAGATACGTGCCAGGGGAGCACAGTCAGTGGTCCTGATGAAACACACCACATCAGTCACACTCCACTCCAGGGGACTGGTGTCCAAACACAGTTTCTGGGGAGCCTCACCTCTCGAACTCTGCAGAACACAGATATGCAGTTAATTATGGGTTTTAACTTTAACAGGGGCAATAAGACCCAGACCATTCAATATACTATATATATAGACGGGTTAGCTGACAACGTCAAATTAAACAATGCTCACACTTCAATGGGGCAGAAGGTCATGTGTTGTGATTCTGGATGGCCAGATGGCTAGCAACAATGACAAGAAGCTGCCATGTGGGGAGTCGTAGGTGGCTCGTTTCAGCTAGTTTGATCTTGTTCTTGATACCATGCCTTGTTTTGAGGTATTTTGACTGATGTCACGTCTATGCTAATATGGCTAAAACTTGCTAGCTAGCTAACCAACAACTGTAACGATGTATTTGAGAGACAACAAGTGCTCATTGTGCAAATGTATTTATGTTTTCAATAAACATTGGAGACAAAATATAGTTAACATCTTGTCAACAATCTAAGCCAAACTGTCAGTTTTGCCCCATAGTTGTGCACGTGTCGGTTTTGTTGCTAAACACCCAACCGTCTATTCACAGTGAACAAACAAATAGTCAAGGCACAGTAGTCTACCTTTGGTGAAGGTGGGTGGTTCTCATCATCAGAGTAAGATGGGGAGCGAGGTTTCCTGCGTTTTCGGGTGGGCCTGGGCGTTGCAGGAGGAGAAGGGGATGGGGTGGGTGGTTGAGACTTCCCAATGGAATATTCTGAATCGTCCTGATCATCCTGGAGCTCAGAGCCAGTATCGTCACTCAGAGAGTCCCCATCATCCAGATCCTCCTCATCTCCACTCCCCTGTGTTAGAGAAAGGGATTGTTCAGTTTAAATATATCTGGATAGGAGTGTGAGTGTGAGTGTGTGTGTGTGTGTGTGTGTGTGTGTGTGTGTGTGTGTGTGTGTGTGTGTGTGTGTGTGTGTGTGTGTGTGCGAGTGTGTCTGTTACCTGTGGTGAACCGGCAGGTGTGTTGTCCAGTGAGGCTGAGGAGCGCCTCTTCTTATGGACAAAGAGTTGCTTTCTCCTCTTCCTCCTTCTACCTCTTCTCTTCACCCCTCCTTCTAGGTTAGAATGCCCCCCTGGTGGGCGGCCCACTCGCTTACATTTCTTCTTACCATAGTAATAAGCTTCAAAGAACAAATCAATACTCCAATCTCAGTCCTCCTGAGCATTATGCATCCAATACTTTATTATCATCGACATACAGTGCATTCAGAAAGTATTCATACCCCTTGACTTTTTCAACATTTTGTTACGTTACAGCTTTATTCTAAAATTAATTAAATCGTTTTTTCCCCCTCATCAATTTACACACAATACCCCATAATGACAAAGCAAAAACAGGTTTTTAGACATTTTTGCAAAAAACATTTAAAAAAGAAACGGAAATATCACATTTCCATAAGTATTCAGACCCTCTACTCAGTACTTTGTTGAAGCACCTTTGGCAGCGATTACAGCCTCGATTCTTCTTGGTTATGACGCTACAAGCTTGGCACACCTGAATTTGGGGCATTTCTCCCATTTTTCTCTGCACAGCTATTTTCAGGTCTCTCCAGAGATGTTCGATCGGGTTCAAGTCCGGTTTCTGGCTGGGCCACTCAAGGACATTCAGAGACTTGTCCCGAAGCCACTCCTACGTTGTCTTGGCCATGTGCTTAGGGTCGTTGTCCTGTTGGAAGGTGAACCTTCGCCCCAGTCTGAGGTCCAGAGCGCTCTGGAGCAGGTTTTCATCAAGGATCTCTCTGTACTTTGCTCCGTTCATTTTTCCCTCGATCCTGACTAGTCTCCCAGTCCCTGCCGCTGAAAAACATCCCCACAGCATGATGCTGCCACCACCATGCTTCACCGTAGGGATGGTGCCAGGTTTCCTCCAGACATGACGCTTGGCATTCAGGCCAAAGAGTTCAATCTTGGTTTCATCAGACCAGAGAATCTTTTTTCTCATGGTCTGAGAGTCCTTTAGGTGTTTGTGGTAAACTCCAAGCGGGCTGTCATGTGCCTTTTACTGAGGAGTGGCTTCCGTCTGGCCACTCCCATAAAGGCCTGATTGGTGGAGTGCTGCAGAGATGGTTGTTCTGGAAGGTTCTCCCATCTCCACAGAGGAACTCTGGAGCTCTGTCAGAGTGACCATCGGGTTGTTGGTCACCTCCCTGACCAAGGCCCTTCTCCCCTGATTGTTCAGTTTGGCCGGGCGGCCAGCTCTAGGAAGTCCTGGTGGTTCCAAACTTCTTCCAATTAAGAATGATGGAGGCCACTGTCTTCTTGGGGACGTTCAATGCTGAATAACATTTTTGGTACCCTTCCCCACATCTGTGCCTTGACACAATCCTGTCTCAGAGCTCTACGGACAATTCCTTCAACCTCATGGCTTGGTTTTTGCTCTGACATGCACTGTCAACTGTGGGACCTTATATAGACAGGTGTGTGTCTTTCCAAATCATATCCAATAAATTGAATTTACCACAGGTGGACTCCAATCAAATTGTAGAAACACCTCAAGGATGATCAATGGATACATGATGCACCTGAGCTCAATTTCGAGTCTCATAGCAAAGTGTCTGAATAGTTATGTAAATAAGGTATTTCTGTTTTTGCTTTGTCATTATGGAGTATTGTGTGTAGACTGATAACTAATTTGTTTAATTTAATCCATTTTAGAATAAGGCTGTAACGTAACAAAATGTGGAAAAAGTAAAGGGGTCTGAATACTTTCCAAATGCACTGTAGGTACATAATGAAGTACACATAAAACAGACACTGCGTCCCCTATTTGTTGATTTTCCCCCCTTGCATATCAGCTTTGAGTGCCTCTTTATCTCCATAACACCTGATTTCTGAACACTCATATGTATTTGATCTAGAGCGATTGAGTAGGTCACACGTACTGTATTTGGTCTTGGTGAGCACAGAGCAGTTCTCTGAGCAGCGCTCCAGAACCATGCGAGGTCCAAACAGGTTTGGGCAACACTCCAGCTTGATGCAGGTCTTCCTACAGAACTCTGCCACGCGATCCGCCGTACGCACTATGTCCACCGTAGCCCGGTAACTCTTTCCCTTGTACCTGCCGGTCAAAAACAGATCCTCAGGTTAGCAACGCTAGGACAGCTTAGCCAATCCCAGTACACACTTCAATCATCAACTCAACCATAAACATGAGCAGAAAAGTTTAGATTGAATCTATGTAGAAAGTGCATTGGGTGATTGTAATGACGTTATGATGGAGCATGTGTTTCTCACTTGGCTTTGAGCGTCTCTCCATGGCCGTGCCAGCGGTCCTCCTGGTCCAGCTGCAGCTCCCTGAGCACCCGGCTGGGCTTGTAGGCTGAGTTGATCAGCAGACTCAACACCTGGACAGGACACAGGGAGATGGAGAGAGACATGAAGGGGTTAGCATGGATACTGTTCCCAGTCTAAGTGGGAAGTCAGGAGTGATCTCTGGGATAGCAAGATTTCACCCTATTACCAACTGCCCTAAGGAGATTTGAGTAGTTTAGTTCACGTAGTTTTAGTACAACGTAATACAGTTATAACATCATAGTGCAAGGCTGTCGCGGTGACCGTATTACCTCCACACCGACAGTCACGAGTCATGACCACAGTAAAATGACATGTGACCGTTGGTCACGGTAATCCCATCCAAAACTGCATGAATGAATGCCGCTTATGGGTAGCCTACCCAACTTGCTAACGGCCCTCACTAATGGCCTGGTATTCAGCGCTCTATAGTCCCTCTAATTACTCTCTAAACAATTTATGATTGAATTTGAATAATCTGAATGATGAGGACAAATGGTGATGGGTGTTAAGAGGTCCCGTTCTGAAATGGTCACGGGAAAGCCCTGGACCCAAAATGCATAATGACATTTTAAAAACACATTCCGAACTGACCTAAAGATAACGATCAGAAAAGCAAATTGTTTTGCTACTTTATTAACCGGCGCTAGGGAGAAAGTGAGAGAGAGCAGCTCCAACTACTATGGAGCAGGGGAGGGGCCGTGTGGTGTGTGAGTGTGAGTAAGACGCAGGAGGCTCGGAGCACCGGAGCAGGTACGGAGGGAGAAAGACACAGCAACCACTGTTATCTCGTGCTAGTAGACTAACTTCTTGCTAGTTATTTATCATCCATCCGGTTGCATAGTAGCCTACCTGCCTTGACTGCATCAAACCGAGAGAAGCAAGTAACTGGGCTAATTGAGGCTAGCCATAACGCTACTGCACTTCTCACCGTCCTACAGTTAGCCTACAAATAACAACAACTCCATTCAGAATATTAAGTAGCAGCCTACCGGTTGGCTTTTGGTCGTTGTAGCCTTTCCTTCTCATTTCACTTTTAATTCTATAATTTGAATTCCATCTAGATATCTCCCAATTTGCTTGCCACACAAGCAGAGCAGCAATGCAATTCTCTCTCTCTCTCTGCGGGAAGCGCAAGGATTAGAGCGCATGCCTTTTTTGGCAACTTGTTCCAAATCATCAATATAGAGTCGCATCATGCAGCCCATATGTTTTTATTTGTATGGTTTGTATACCTATCACAACTAAAGTTACCAATTAACTCTAAATTAAGAGTAGCATATAGGACCTGTTTTAACCTGTTAGACTTTTTAAAATGTAGGCCTAGATGTTCCAAAGGCGTGCATCAGCAGCTTGTATACGTGGAAGCCCGGAGATGCTTAAGGTGTTTATGTTAATTAATGGTAAATTAACGTGAGAACAGCAGTCATTTGCATGACAGTTACTGGCTGACAAAATATCCACAGCCCTATCATAGTATAGTACGGTTGTTCCAATCCCACCCAGGTGCTCCTCACCTCTTTGAGCACCAGGACACAGTTGCCAGGGCCGACACACTGGGGCAGCTCAGCGATGCGGCCCTTATTCAGGTAGGGGCCAGAGAAGCAGCGGTGGTTGAAGAAGATCTTGGGACAGCAGTACTTTCCATTCCCCTGTCCTGTTCACAAACACATCACACACAATGTAAGGGCTGTGCCTCAGGTTAGAAACCCTACTAATGTATTTATCTGGAATGTCTACATGAGAAACACTCACCAGTCTCTGATTGGCTGGCCACCTGCAGCTTGAGTGTGTCAGGTGTTGTGGATTTGGGTAGTGCTCGGCTGTAGGGACAAAGATACAGGTTAGGGGTCAAAGTGCATGGGACTGGAGTGTTAACCAATCAAAAGTGGACAAACAGCCAATGACCAGCCAATGATAGATTCCTCCCTTTCCCATAGGCCTACTTACTGTTTCTCAGGCTGCACCACAGCAATCCTCCTCTGCTTCTCAACTGTAAGACAATGTATAATCACCATTAATAAAACTCTACTGAAACTATACAGAGTACTGTCAAATACGCTGACTGCAATGGTTAACACTTCCATGCATATTGTGGCATGCTAGTGGCTCCCCTTCAGATTAGAGAGGGACACAAAGTGATCTTATTTTGGGACACCCACCTTTGGGCTTGATGGGGTACAGCAGGGGGTAACCGTTGGTCTCACACCAGCTGACAGGGAACATATCCAACGAGTCCACATGAGCGATCATCTCTGGTATAGCCTGTTTCAGCCCTAGACACACAGAGACACAACTTATTTAGACCCACATAACTAATTAATGATCTAATATTAATACCATCAGTGTGCACAAGCTCACACTCAAATGGTTTCAGACTAAGATTTAAAAATGCAGGGCCCAGATATGATACGTAGCTACAGGTTCTCACCTTCCAGGCCAAGCCAGATATGTTGCCCTTTGACCTTGGTTACCGTTGCCACGTGAATGTGCTCAGGTGAGAGTGGGTTGACCGCCTCCAACTTCATGGCCTCTTTAAAGCTGTGATCAGACTGTTCCTGAGAGGTAGACAGAGATACATCAGGAGAGAGATTATTCATGTCCCCTGTTCACCCAAGCTATACACTCATGTTATATAGCATTGTTCTATGTCAGACAGAGCTTGACTCACTGTGGGGAAGCAGTGTTGGGGTGCTGCCTCAGCCTCGCACTGTTTCAGGTAGTCTGCCCAGTCAAAGTCCTGCCCCTGGTACCCTACACAAACGGAGAGAGAGAACACAATACAATTAGCTAAAGCCTAAAAATAATAACTGAGCACATTATTAAAAGTAGCTCTGTAAATGTTACTAGCGTTTCCTCACCTGGAGGGGGGCTGAGCGGGAGGCCATTCTTCAGGCTCCACTGGGCAGGAAAGATCCCAGGACTGTCCCTGTGACACAGGAAGGACCCAACGCCCTCTGCCCCCGAATCATCACCACGGAGACTGTCCATCTTTACTAGGAAGCACTCATCACTGAACACCTGAAGAGGAGAGTTAGGGTATCACATCACACTCCCCACTGGGCACAGACATTAAATCAACTTCTATTCCACGTTAGTTTAACCAGTGTGTGCCCAGTGGGTCATGTCTGCTCTATGCAGTAGTTACCCTACCCTTGTTCCATAACCATATCACACCCAAAGCTAGCCTCACATACACTACCATACTGTATCTCAATGACTTCCACTTCTACTTGGAGTGGGTAGGCTACCAGAGTTTACATGGGTACTATGTCAGGATTTATCTTAGCAAATTTCTACTCTCCTAGTCCTGAGGTGACCACTGATCTGAGTGGACTGAATATGCAACAACAATATAGTGCAAACTGTTGGGTGGGCTGGAGTGCCTTTACTACTGTACTGCCATCATCCAACCCAGTCATATTAATCATCTCTGGTCTGAGAAGAACGTATTCAGACAATTCTAGGAGCCTGAGGTGAGACGGGGCCAGTAAAGAGGTTCTCACCTTGGTAACGGTGGCAGGACTGATGCAGAAAGGGTACGCAGGGTCAACGGCCTCCAGTTTCATCCCCTCAGTGAAGCAGTGGGCAGCAACGGCAGGCCGGTCCTGAAGCAGACACACACACACACACACACACACAGTGATGGCTCGTTCTATCAATATTGCACTGGTATTCCACAGACCCTTGTAGTGTTAGTACATACTGCTTGGTAGTGCCTTTACCTTATAGAACTCTTCAGAGAGGGCATCATCATGAGGCTGATCACTGATCCTCTGTCTGACCTCCTCCCACTCCTCCTCCGTGTGCAGGGGGACCAGAGCTGAAACAAGCAAGCACACACACAGATTATCATATTAAAACAGTAAAAAAACACAACCTTTATTCATGAATCATTTGTTGCTTTTTGCATCTTGAAACGTAATTCACCCAAGATCTTTTTGAAAAGAGCAGTTTACCTGAAGGAGGCGTGAGGGTGCAGCTGTGCTCCTTGGCCCAGCCAGGTGGGTGGAGGTGGGGGTGCAGGTAGTAGAGCCAGAGGGTGGAGTGTGTATCAGGGAGCCCCTCTGTGCCCGCTAGACGTAGTCTCAGCCTGCCACCCATGTTCTCCTCCACCTCAGCGCCCCACGCCACCCCAGGGTCAACACTGTCCTGCAGCTCCACACTGCAGCCTGGAGACAGCAGGTCCACCGGGTCCTTACCTCGCTGGGGCTATACACACACGCGTAAGCACGCAGGCACACACACACAAGTAAGGACATGCTAGGTTACACTCACCAATACCCTTACTGATACAAAGGGAGCTCAAAACCCTTGCTTATCTGGCATACATTCCCAGTTGTTCCAGTTTACAACTGAGCCTCTCTCACCCCTTCCAGCAGGTTGGCAGGTGCACTGCACTTCTCAGCTAGGGCTTTCTCCAGGACGCCCTCCCAGTCTGGTTGCTTCTCTCTCACACCTGAGGGGGGCGATGGAGAGACATGGTTACAGAATATCAAAACAAGCTTGGGAAATGTCTTTGAAAAACTCAGGTCTAGATTTCACTGTAATAACCTCGTAATAACCCTCGTACAACTAGTTGGGCGTGGAAGAGATAATTCAAAACAGCCATCCCACTGAGTTCCCTCCCCAGCCCTATCTCCCTCACCCTCGGGGGGTCTCATGGGTTTGCCCTGCTCCCGGCTCCAGCCCAGGGGGTGGAGGTCAGCCGTCATGATGTCACACCAGAAGTCGGCGCGGCGGTCGTCGTGGTAACCTTCGTAGCGCAGGAGGAGCAGCTGGCCACAGGTGGTGATGATGGTGGCCACCCAGTAGGGTTGGTCAGTCTCTGAACGCACACACACCTCCAGCTTCATACCTGGAGTCAGACCCGTCTGCAAGCCCTGGTCCACCTGGAGAGAATGATATATGAAAAGCTCTTATAAGGTCAACTATTGATCAACAGTGTATGCGTATTGTGTGTGGTTATGAGGAGTGTAAATAGTCTCAGTACTTACATGTTTGAAGGCATGGTGGGGCACAGACACTGCCCCGTTCTCCTCCAGATAGTCATCCCAGTTAAAGTCAGACACATCCTGACTAGAGTCCCCATCTGCAACACACACACACACACACACACACACACACACAGGTTAATTATGTTATGTCAGAAAGCCCTCTCCACCAGTAACAAAGCTGCAGGTCCATGTTGTTACTCACCGGACTCCAGCAACTCATGACTCATGTTGGCTCCTCCTACTGGCCAAGTCTAGAAGCTCTGGGGAAGAAAGGAGAGACTGATTATTATCTAGAAAAGATGGACATCATTCTTTAAAATCTGTTTGACAGCCAAAACCAGGAAAGCAAGAAAGCATAGTAGGCTGTTGGTAAAAGTGGCATAGCTGGTGTAAGGGATGTAATTTGAATGTGTCCAGTGCTTACATTTAGTTTTTTGGATGGGGAGGGGCGCTTAGCAAATGGAAGCATAAACAAAGTTTAGTTAGTGTGCGTGAGAGAAGAAGTGAAACAGAGAATATTTAGGTACGTGTTTTGAAAATACTAAATGACCTTGCTTGTACAAAATGGCCTTGCTAAGTTGCTAAAAGTATGAGAGAGGACTTAATACTTTTTAAAAATGCTAAATGAGGCCAAAGATATCTCAAACAGACCACAACTTTGAAACAAAGTCGAGCTGTGGGCCTATAGCCACTCTGTGACAACAAAGCGGATGAAATAACTTAACACAACAAGAGAAATAGCATTTATATACTGGGCATGAGAGAGCATTAGAGATGACAATAGCTGAGAGGTTTGTGTAAAGGATGCAGAGGATAGCTGCTCTGTCACTGCTGCTCCATTCAGCAGGGCTGTCAGGCCTGTCTTTGTCATGTCTGATGTCTCTATTAAAGAGGAGACAGCCATCAGACAGGGTCCCCCTGACCACTGCCCGGACACCACGACCCACATAACCCAGGTTCAGCCCTTCACCCACAACCCTGCTGCCCACACACACACACACACACACACACACACACACACACACACAGCTATCCAGCTGAGGGCCTCATTGTCCTTGAGGTCACACTCACGTCTCAAACACTAGAGGATGAAAAGAGCAGCAGAGCCATTTAGCTATTTACAAAGAGCCAGCCCTCAGTGTTGGGCTGCATTATAATAACTGATTATCTCAAAAAAATATTCTCAAAGTTGTTGATTGAAAGAAAAAGAAGGATTGAAAATGTCAGCAAGTTTTTTTAAATCATTACTTCAATATGACATATACACAAGTCTGAATGACGCTGAGAAGAAGATACCTTAATAGAAAATGACTCAAGTAGAAGTGAAAGTCACCCAGTAAACTACTACTTGAGTAAAAGTCTAAAAGTATTTGGTTTTAAATATACTTAAGTATCAAAAGTGATTGTAATTGATAAATTATACTTAAGTATCAAAAGTAAAAGTAAAAGTATAAATCATTTCAAAGTCCTTATATTAAGCAAACCTGACAGCATCATTTTCTTGTTTTTATTTTATTTACAGATAGCCCCCGTGTAGCTCAGTTGGTAGAGCATGGCGCTTGCAATGCCAGGGTTGTGGGTTTGATTCCCACGGGGGCCCAGTATGAAAATGTATGCACTCACTAACTGTAAGTCGCTCTGGATAAGAGCGTCTGCTAAATGACTAAAAATGTAAATAGCCAGGGGCACACTCAGACATCATTTACAAACGAAGCATGTGTTTAGTGAATCCACCAGATAAGAGGCTGTAGGGATGACCAGGGATGTTCTTTTGATAATTGTGTGAATTAGACAATTTTATTGTCCTGCTAAGCATTCAAAATGTAATGAATACTTTTGGGTGTCAGGGAAAATGTATGGAGTAAAAAGTACATCATTTCTTTAGGAATGTAGTGAAGTAAAAGTAAAAGTAATCAAAAATATAAATAGTAAAGTAAAGTACTGATACACCAAAAAACTACTTAAGTAGTACTTTCAAGTATTTTTACTTAAGTACTTTACACCACTGAGACTGACTGCCTGCCTGACTCTCTCCACCAGAATATACACTGACTCACCCTGAAAGAGAAACTAGAATGCATACACAAACACACGCTGATTTTTACAACCGCCTCCCAGCAGCTATTGGATCATTTGATCAGTGCTTAACATGCCATTGCCTGAATTAAGTCCTCTGAGTCACACTGAGTGGCCGCTGGGCAGTAAATGCAAGTTAAAGAAATGCATTGATTGGACACACAAGGGTTTTAGAAACGTACTGTAAACGAAAGTGAAGTCTGTTGATGAAATGGGTTTATGTCAAGAATAACCTTAGACTAATGGGAGTATTTTCATCAAGTGTAACACGTTTTCAACAATATTAGCCTACACGATGTGTTTATGAATCCTTATTGTCGGCAATTAGCCTACACATAGGCTTCTTGTTCTTTGAGAGATTGTATTTCAGGGTTGTATGTTGCCATTGTCAAATAGTGGCCTAATGTAACTGGGGTGCCCGAGCGCCCATCGCACGTCAGAAGACAGTTGTCCCCATAAGCACGTCAAAAGACAGTTGTTGTCCCCATAAAGCACAGTATTGAAACTGTCATTCGAACTGGATTTTTCGTGTAAATGCCCATAGAAGAGCCTGATCCGCAGAAGTGGATATCACATTTTTATGCAAAAAACACTTCATATTGATATTTCATCGGCATGTCAAATGAAACAATGTTGCAATTTAGGCTATATGGCACATCAATTGAAACAATGTTGCAGTTTATAGCAGAAGGTCAATTGAAACAATGTTGCTGCGATTACTCAAGTTGCATAACTGGGAAATTGGAGTTATAGTTGGAGAGAAATAGGCAGCTTAGTGCTTAGAGTAGCCTACGTGTAAATGGCAATGTTTATAGCATAATTTATCTGTTAGGCATACAACAACAATGAAATAAAATGAAAATAAAATCTAAAAGATTCCTAGGCCTATTTGATTTAAAGTCAAATACACCAGAGGCGTCTACTATCAAGCTTGCAACCTTTATTATATAAGAGCGATAAATGGATTAAGTTCAGTAACAACATTTTCGGGGAATTCTCGATAGATGCTTTCAATGATTTTCAAGCTATTAACGCAATAGCTTTGCACAGGCACGAGCGCCGATGATCCAACTTTCACACTGGAACGTGAACTAAAGAGAAGGACACCGAATGCAAGAAATAACATATATTTCATAGCTTCTGTGTTTATTCCATATAGGTCAGTTCTGATGCCAAATGCACCAAGTCGAATGCGGCTGATTCGGCACATGCTAAAAACGTCTGTGACCAAGTCAAGTTACTGGAACGTCATGGCTTGAGCAATAGGCTAGCTACACTGTAGCGAGCAATAAGGGCGCTTGCACTCGACCGAGCCCGAGTCATCTTTTTTAGAGACGGGAAAAAAGACGCAGACAGCATCAAAATGCATGATATCATATTAAGCTCGTAATAAACAAAATATAGTATGTGAGTATTTGGTTACATAATCTGATTCTTACCAGTAAATAGTTTTTCAAGTCGGTTTTAGATGCCGTTTCTTTCCGCCTAGTCGTTCACGACCTCATTCCAATATGGCACAAACTGCCACTGCGCATGTTCTGCCGCCTATATCCACATTCTAAACCCGGGTAGATAATATTGTCGGCTTTGACAATGAAAAAATGACTTCCATCTTCAAACAATACAAATTGACATCTCCAAAACCACTATTAACAGACGCAAAGAAAAATAAAACAATATTTTATTTGTTTATTCAGAAATAGCCTATTTCAGAGGAGGCAAATAATATTAATATTCTTTAACGTTGATTGAGACAGAAGCTTTAGCCTACGTTTGGCAAATTTCCCTATGGATTCAACACTTTGTTTAATCGTTGAACTAGAATATGGATTGCAGGTATAATCGACTCACTTTTGTTGAATGGCATTTTTTTTTTTTTTTTTTACTGTATAGGTGATATTGACTTTTGCCTGAAACTGCATAAAAGAAACGCATCGAGTTGCTTAATTTTGTCCCATTGTTCCGCACATAAATACATATACAAATGAGGAATCTGAAGGATATAATGGAAGAACATAGCAGGGTTTATTCCACAATCAGAAAATCTAAGCTTTTAACTGTGCGGTGATAAGGTGTTTGTGAAATGTTTGGGTGTGGAGCTTTTAGAAATATGCTTTCATAGCAATATGCTTCCACTTTCATGGCGAACCCAATGTGTTTCTCGTTTTGACTAGGCTATATCAAAAGGAGCCCCGTTTGATAAAGGCATTTTCTCACGACCACGATGTAGACTAGGCTAAAGCTTAATTAATCCTCACAAAAGACCAATCCATTTGGTAGATGAATAGAAAACATTTCTGAGATGTCCGCCCCACAGTCGTTGCGAATGAAAATTGTATAACTACAATCCAATAAATGTGTCATAAGGAGAATTCATTCAATATGCTGAATGAATGGCACGAATGGCTTAACATTAAAACAACAATTTCTAGCCTAACTTCTTCCAATTTTAGTCGATTTGATCTTTCTTTATAAAAATGTGTAGTCTAACTACAGACATGAGAATCACCTATGAAACAAAGGGGATATAGTGTAATTTTGAAAGATAACATGGGCCTATGGGATTTTATGTTGGAGAAAAAAAAAAAACAAGTTCATGATAAAGTCTCAGATTTCACTGGTGTTCGAGATGCATGGGATAGAATAACACGCAGTCCTATGCTTTTAAATGCCTTATGGGTTCATCTTAATTCATGCAAACTTTATGAGCAAGTCTTAACCTCAGAAGGCTTGTCAGGTTGCCCGACGTCGTAATGATGCAACTTTTCAAACGTTGTTGGAGAGTGCAGTGAGCCTATATTGTAATGCCAGAGAGAGAGAGAGAGAGAGAGAGAGAGAGAGAGCGGACTCGGAGGACACTCGCCGTGCGCACTTCATGAATGTTGTCGGCCTTTGAGGCTCGGACACAATAAAGAGATGAATAGTAATTGTAGCACCTGGCCGCTAGATGGCAGGGTAGCCAAATTCCTATTGTAACCTGCAGTAGGCCACCCGCCTGTGAAAGTGCCTATGAGGAGCGAAATTGTGAAAACAAATTATCATAAAGTGCCTACATGTTTGCAAAATGTGACAGTCAAAACGTGATGAAAAAATAACTAAACTAACCACTGACAAGGCCTACATGGAGAATAGAAGGAATAGCATAATTTAGCAATAAGGCACGAGGGGGTGTGGTATATGGCCAATATACCAGCGCTAAGGGCTCAATGCAGAGTGCCTGGATACAGCCCTTAGCCGTGGTATATTGGCCATATACCACAAACCCCCCAGGTGCCTTATTGCTATTATAAACTGGTTACCAATGTAATTAGAGCAGTAAAAATAAACGTTTTGTCATATCCATGGTATACAGTTTGATATAACACGGTTGTCAGCCAATCAGCATTCAGGGCTCGAACCACCCAGTTTATAATTATCAATAGCCTACAATATTAATTGATCTGGACAACAATTTAGAGTTAAAGACCTGTTTATTTATAATCAGATGTAAAATATGAAGACAGTAAAAAAAGTACATCCTTACGTCACCAAATATTGTATCTGTTTAGGGCAAGTGCCTTCAGAAAGTATTCATATCCCTTGACTTATTCCACATTGTTGTCTTACAGCATGAATTCGAAATGGATTAAATATATTTTTTTCTCACCACTCTACACACAATACCCCATAATGACAAAGTGAAAATATGTTTTTAGAAATGTTTTCAAATGGATTGAAAATGAAATGCAGACATTTACATAAGTATTCACACCCCTGAGTCAATCCTTTGTAGAAGCACCTTTGGCAGCGATTACAGCTGTGAGTCTTTTTCTGGGTAAGTCTCTATGAGCTTTCCACACCTGGATTGTACAACATTTGCCCATTATTCCTATTCAAAATTCTTCAAGCTCTATCAAATTGGTTGTGGATCATTGCTAGACAACCATTTTCAGGTTTTGCCATACATTTTGCCATAGATTTAAGTAAAAACTGTAACTTGGCCACTCCAGAACATTCACTGTCTTCTTGGTAAGCAACCAGTGTAGATTTGGCCTTGTTATTTAGGTTATTGTCCTGCTGAAAGATGAATTTATCTCCCAGAGTCTGGTGGAAAGCAGACTGAACCAGGTTTTCCTCTAGGATTTTGCCTGTGCTTAGCTCTATCCCGTTTCTATTTTATCCTGAAAAACTCCCCAGTCCTTAACGATTACACGCATACCCATAAGATGATGCAGCCACCACTATGCTTGAAAATATGGAGTGGTACTCAGAAATATTTTGTATTGGATTTGCCCCAAACAAACACTTTGTATTCAGGACAAGAAGTTAATTGCTTTACCACATTTTTTTGCAGTATTATTTTAGTGCTTTGTTGCAAACAGGATGCATGTTATGGAATATTTGTATTCTGTACAGGCTTCCTTCTTTTCACTTTGTGAATTAGGTTAGTATTGTGCAGTAACTACAATGTTGCTGATCCATCCTCAGTTTTCTCATATCACAGCCATTAAACTCTATAACTGTTTTAAAGTCACCATTGGCCTCATGGTGAAAACCCTGAGCGGTTTCCGTCCTGTCTGGCAACTGAGTTAGGAAAGACGCCTATATCTTTGTAGTGACTGGGTGTATTGATACACCATCCAAAGTGTAATTAATAACTTTACCATGCTCAAAGGAATATTCAATGTTTTTTACTCCTGAATTTATTTAGGCTTAACATAATAAAGGGGTTGAATACTTATTGACTCAAGACATTTAAGCTTTTCATTTTTAATTAATCTATAGAAATGTCAAAAAACAGTTCCACTTTGACATTATGGGGTATTGTGTGTAGGCCAGTGACCAAAAATCTCAATTTAATCAATTTTAAATTCAGGCTGTAACACAACAATATGTGGAAAAAGTCAAGGGGTGTGAATACTTTCTGAAGGCACTGTACATACCGTTTTCATTTAATATACAGCATATTATTATTTGCTTTTTAAAATACATTAAAGTAACACAAAACCCAATTATCCATCGTTTTGCTAAAGGAATCACCCCCAACATACACCCATATCCTTCAAAACAAATGACTGTATAGTACCATTACATTGACTCCCTCCAGTATGATGTCCCACTCCATTTCACATTAACTCTTGTCTGAATCAGAGTAGCTCTGGTTTGTTCAGGAGAGTGGGAAAGCTGCAGTACTGGTTCCAAATCCTTAGTTTTACATCATGTGGATGGGCAAACAAATCCACACGGTGAAATGTGAGTGAGACTATCCATGCCTGTATAAATCTGTGAATCCTCTACAGGTCCTGTTTCTTGGGTGTTCTATAATTAGTTTTTATATCACCCTTTCAATTTCATTAATTTCACCTTCCATAGGGTACTGAATCCGCACCTGAAAAAGTATAAATGTTATTTTCATTATAAGACATTTCAAATATACTCGAGATTCATGCTGTCACTCAGACACATTAATTCATGCATGCATTTATGCACAGTGAGTGCTCCCCTACACACACACACACCTTTATATTGCCATCCTTGTGGGGGCCAAATAATTGATTCCCATCCAAAATCCTATTTTCCCTTACCCTAACCTTAACCCTTAACCTAACCATAACCCTCATCCTAACCTTAACCCCAAACCTATACCTAACCCTAACTCCTAACCGTAACCCCAACCTTAATTCTAACCCTAATCCTAATTGTAACCCTAAACCTAACCCCTAAGCCTAAAATAGCATTTTTCCTTGTGGAGACCAGAAAAATGTCCCCACTTGTCCGAATTATCCTTGTTTTACTATCCTTTTGAGGACTTCTGGTACCCACAAGGATAGTAAAACAAACCACACACACAATAAACAATTATGTGAATGATGGGATGGGAAAGAGCGACATACAGTAGGCAGAGCACACGGGTGTGTGATAGAGCCACATTTGACCCCTGACATCCCAGCATGGACAATATTAAACAACCGCCTGAGCTATGGGGTATGTGTGAATGAGTGTGTTGATGTATGTTGGGGGATAAAGTACAGTACATGGATTGATTCATACTGATTCAAGGTTTGATCCCAAGGAAAAGAAAGACACCATTATTGAATGGAACCACCACAGAGATAAATGCAACACCGGTTTTTCCCTTCCTCCTCCTTTTCCTGTGTGTTTATAATGGAGCGGTTGGAACGAAGAGATGGGGGAATCTTGTTGTTCCTTCATTTGTCCTTAATGCGTTCCATCTTGGGGTTGATGAAAGAGAAGCCTGCAAAGGCTGTCTGGTCCATGGAGTCGATCAGGTTCTTGTCCGTGTGGGAGAGGCGGGGCTTCTCACTCAGGAACTCCCGGTCAAAGTTGTTGCAGTCATTGGGGCCTTTCTGTGATTGGCAGAGAAGGTCTGTCAGTTCAACAAGAGGCCAATAACACCATTGAACTCCAACTAAATAATGATTATGGTGTAAACAAATCTGAAAAAGAGCATTAGTGTGTGAGTTTCACTAGCCACAGTTCCATTATAAGTCAGAGAACCAGATCGTACCACTTTAGGTTTGAAGGGGGGGTCCACCTCTCTCTTCTCCAGGGCAGGCCAGTTGAGGGTCTTGAAGAAGGAGTGTCCGCGGATGTTCCCCACCACCCCTAGCCTGCGACTGGGGTCTCGTTCAAACAGCTGGGGATGGGGCACAGTGACACGCAATAGCTTAAGGACAAGCTTCCAGCTTGGGTTTAAGGTGTGTGTGTGCGCCTGCATGGTGCTGTGGATAAGCTTGTCAGTGTGTAGATTGGAGGGGTCGAGAGGGATATAATTGCAAGGTAACAAGGGTGTGGAAACATTACTTGCATATGTAAGGGAAAATAACCTTTAATCACAGGCAACGTTGTGGCATTCCAAAGCCTGTCTTTCTCTGTATGTCTAGGTGTGACTATGTGTGAATGTCTGTGTGCATGGCTAGTGTTGATGAAAGTCAGGTGAGATTTCAAGATTGATTACATTGTTTACTAGTGGACACCAATCTGCCACCCACTGTCACAGACTTACAGGCACACAACATTGTGAAATGGAGGTAAAGGCTGTGTGGTGAGTGAATGAGTGAGAGAAGAGGATGAGCAGCAGCCGCACCTTCTCCAGCAGGTCCTTGGCCTCCTTGGTGATCCAGCGAGGGTAGTGAGGCACGTCCATCCTGATGGACTCAAACAGCTCATCCTCGTCATCACCCTGGAACGGCGACTGGCCAATTAGCATCTCATACACCAGTACCCCAAACGACCACCAGTCCACGGAGAAGGTGTACTTCTGCCCCAGCAGGATCTGAGGATGGACGGAGAGACAGACACATGGACAATGTTAAGAGTAATCTTAAGAGAGTAAATTGCTTTACAAACAGAATTCTACAATACCCTATCCTGCATGGACACAGACACAGTCACACACACCTCTGGTGCGATGTAGTCCGGCGTCCCACAAAAAGTGGTGGCCCGATTCTCTCCAAACACATTCTCCTTGCACATCCCAAAGTCAGCGATCTTAATGTGGCCGTCCCTGTCCAGCATCACATTGTCCAGCTTCAGGTCCCTGTAGCAGGGAAGGGGGGGGGGGGGGCAGGGGGGCAGGGGGGAGAGGGGTTAAGTCAGCTCCCTCAGTAAAGGGAATGAAGTCCATCTACTAAGCACTAGTACAAGGATGAATAAGGGAAATCAAGTGCAAGGCCAGACGAGACTATTGAAGTTCATTGATCTCACCTGTAAATTATTCCTTTGGAGTGGAGGAACTGCAGTCCAATTATGATCTCTGCAGAGTAGAAACTGGGGGAGAAGAGTGGTAGAGGCCAAATTACTTCTGTGTGCATCACCATTATGAAAGGCCTACAGTCTGCCCTTAACCTGCTATGAAACCGTTGTGGGTGAGTTCTAAGTAAGTAACTAATAACTACTTAGCGTCTGGTAGATGGTGAGATAACACTGTAGTCTGTCACTCACGTGGCTCTGTAGAGTTCAAAGCGACCCTTATCCTGTATGTGGAACATCAGGTCTCCTCCATTCAGGTACTCCATCACAAAAAACAGGTGTTCCTGGTAACACACACACAATCCTATCAGTTAAACTACTGTCTAAACACCCAAGTATAGTGACACACATCAGTCTGACGAACAATTGTTCTAGGAGTTCTGTATATGTGTGTGTGTGGAGGTAGTGATGGATGATGGTAAATCCTAATGAAAGATTAAGTTATGGAGAGGGGTAGGGGTCTCACCCTGGTCTGGAAGGTGGAGTAGAGGTGTGTGAGGAAGGGGTTGTCCCAGGCCAGGGCCAGGACTCTCTTCTCCACCATGGTACACTCCACATCATCATCCATCAGAACCACATCTTTCTTCAGGGCCTTCACAGCAAAGTACTGCCCTTGCCCCCTCAGCTCAGCCAGCAGGACCTGGAGCACCACACAGGAGAGGTGATACATACTCATGTTGAACATACTAAACTAAACTACCAGACCAGAGCAGGCCACTGGGTTGCTATAGCTACTCCAACAACAGATAATAACACGGGTCACATACTAACTAAACCACTAAATTAGGTTGGCTCTTAGCAGTTGAAGAGTGCCTTGAAACCTTTTAGACAAAGCAGTATTAGCAAGTGACATGTGTGAAGGCCATTGAGTCTGTGTGTATGGGTATCAGTGGCATGAGCATGAGGAATGTAGCAGTGGTTGTACTGTACCTTGCCAAAGCTGCCCTTGCCCAGCACCTTGTGGAACACAAAGTTGTCAATGGTGAGGCGGGTCTTGGTGGTGATGCTGGCGGGGGCAAGGCCCTTACCTCCCTCCCACAGCTTCTCATAGCCTTCTGTTGAACACACACACACACAAAGAGACGGGCATAATGTCAATAGATGCATAGACACGTAAAGACACACAAAAAACGACAGAGAACTAAAGACCTACATTGTTTAGGACCAAATAGTGTGGTTTACTTAAGCAATAAGGCACGAGGGGGTGTGGTATATCAGACCGTATACCACAAGTATGACAAAACTGCTCTAATTACATTAGTAACCAGTTTATAATAGCAATAAGGCAACTCGGGGGTTTGTGGTATATGGCCAATATACCACGGCTAAGGGCTGTTATTATGCACGATGCAACGTGGTATACGGTCTGATATACCACGGCTGTCAGCCAATCAGCATTCAGGACTCAAACCACCCAGTTCATAAAGCAGAATAACATGAGCTCTCAACTGCAGCAGTGATAGCTACTTACCACTAGGGTCCGCTCCTGGGCTTTTGTTGAAGTCCTGGTAGATTCCAATGTCCGTTGACTCTGAGTTGTTGGATTCAGACCGTCTTGTGGATTTCTGAAGGGGTATAATGCTATTACAATATGGTTATGAATGTGCATTCATGACGCTATAAAATACATTAGTATGTGTGAATGTGGGCATGACCAAGTGTCCCTGGCTTTCTCACTTGGCTAACTTGGTTGAGGGCCTCAGCCAGGAGTTTCTGGTTGATTCCACAGAGATTTCCCACTTTCTTCTCACACTTGTGATGGGAGTTCATGCCACAGTCTGACAGGAGAGAGGAGAGAAGAGTAAGACAGTGGCTGGGAGAAAATGGAGAGGTAAAGAAATAATTGGGTGGATTGAAGATCGATAGAAAGAGACAGAGAGAGAGCGACACAGACAGAGACAGAGAGAGAGAGGCCTCACACCTACCTTCACACTTGAGGCCCTGCTTGACCATTCCCCACAGCATACTGCCACAGTGGTCACAGAACGTAGGGCTCATGTAGTTGTGGATCTTGAAGCGATGTGGCATGTCGATCTTAAAGCGCTCCTTCTGGAACTGTGGATACACAGAGCTCCCGTCATCAATAGTACCCATGGGTACTGACCCAAAAAAAATGGTGTCTGTGGGGCCTCACAGCCCTTCTGAACCTCCTCATGGTGCCCCACAGGAAGCAAGAGAGAGGGGACATGGGAACACACCTACACCATTAACTGGTGGACTGACTCCACCCACTCTTCCCTCACAGCACTGACTAGCCAACCACTCCACCTCTACTGTTCCCATACAGGCTGCAGACAGGGAACAGGTTCACCTCTAACCACTAACCCCTGAAGAGAAGGCCACTCTATCCTAACTGCCACAGGTGCTGTAGAGCTGATCCCACTGCTGCAAATACTATCAGTCTTTCTATCATTCCATGGCTGCAACACTGCAACACTAGTCAAAAGTGCTCCACTACTGGTAATAACTGTCCTATGCTGAATCCACTGGCACTATACTGGTTACTTTAGTCCCGTGCTAACTAAATTACAGCTGGAATGAAGCACCACTGTTCAGTTTTAAACACAAGCCTATTGATTTGCCTGACACAGTTCTCCTGGTCTCTGATAGCTGTTGATTTGACCTCCCTGAAAGTGTCTCGTGTTGCCTATTGAGGGATGTAGAATAACGTGGCACAATTCTCACAGCTGCATGACCCGATACAATCAGAGAAAACAATATGGACAAATGACTACCCTAGTCAACATATTGATAAAGGGAATCACTCCATAGAAAACTGATCTTCAAAACACCAACTACAAAAGGCTACATGGTGCTAATTGGCCACACAGCATTATATACAGTGTGCTGCAGATTTTTTATATGTTTTGGGAGGTCATGTTGCTTACCATAGTGTCTCTGCTGTTGGCTGCTGTTCCTGTGCACCTCCCTATGATTTTGTCAATACATTTCTTGTGGATGGCGGCATTGCATTCTGAGACACAGATAAAGCCACATTAGGGAAAGCTGATAGTTAAGATATTCACTTATTGTTATGAGAAATGTGTTTATATGTTTGGGAGTAAATTTTGCAGAGTGCACGCTTAGGATATTTCACTCCAAGCTACAAAACAACGTCCATATTGTGAAAAATGTAAATGGCAAGGAGGTCAGAGGCACTCACGTCTGCACTTGTAGCCTTGCTTGTTGAATCCCCTGTTTGGAAAGAAAGATTCATACAATAAATGACTAATCTTTGTGCACTTTTCCCAAAAGGCATACTGACAGATGGTAAAACAAATCTCAATATAAAGTATTGACAGTGACAATAAACAATGGTAGTTTAACAAAATGAAAGAGAGGAGGGACATTCATTCATCTTTTGCACAAACTACACCATCCACACACAATAGGGACATTGGTCATTCCTCAACCTGTCACCAAAAATAGGCACCAATAACAGTTTTCTTCTCTGGCAGGAAGGGGGCAGCCCTGCACTAGGGATTGTGCTGACATTGTTGGAACATTGCAGCAGCACCCTGTGGGTTTTCCCCAGACAGCTCACAGTCCAGGCCCTGCCAGCCAGTCTTACTGTTATTGTTGGACAGACCGCTCCAGTTATGGAACAATTAGAGCTGTTAATTGGTCTACTTAGAGAGCCCATGGGGGGCTGGTTTTGGGGTAATCAGTCAACTGTCTCTGTACTCTGGTTTACTGCTAAGCCAAGGCATAATACCATTTGTGTAGCAGAATGACACTTGTAAAACAGGTTGAAAGCCCAACAGTCTTTGTTATGGTCATTGTCAGTGTGGTGGTTTGGATGGGGTGGTCTGCGTCTCTCACCAGACAAACTCCCGGCAGACAGAGCAGAAGGTGGGCTGTCCGAAGAAGGTGGCTGTGAACTCATGGTTCTTGATGAAGTGGACCTTGGCCTGTTTAATGGCTCCTCTCCTTCGGGTCAGTGTCATCGCACCATCCTCCTCTTCACGCCCCTTCACGTTCGACTTAAACACTGCTCGGGACACATAACAACATTACAATTAATTATTCTATGTACTCAATCATATACCATTGTGTCTGCTGTGAGTGATATTTTAATAATTGTGTTACATTGTGAGCTAAAACTGGTACCTTGGTGGAAAAAAAAGAAGAGTTTGTAACAAAACAGCAGTAGTCGAAAAAGTAGCAAATGGTCATACTTGAATGAAAGTAAAGATACCTCAATAGAAAATGACTAAAAAATGAGTCACCTAGTAAAATACTACTTGAGTAAAAGTCTAAAAGTATTTGGTTTTAAATATACTTAAGTATCAAAAGTAAATGTAATTGCTAAAATATACTTAAGTATCAAAAGTAAAAGTATATATTATATTAAGCACATTTACGGATAGCCAGGGGCACACTCCAACACTCTGACATAATTTACAAACGAGGCATTTGTATTTAGTGAGTCTGCCAGATCAGAGGCAATATGACCAGGGATGTTCTCTTGATAAGTGTGTGAATTGCGCCATGTTCCTGTCCTGCTAAGCATTCAAAATGTAACGAGAACTTTTGGGTGTCAGTGAAAATGTATGGAGTAAAAAGTAAATTATTTTATTTAGGAATGTAGTGAAGTCAAAGTCAAAGTTGTCAAAAATATAAATAGTAAAGTACAAATACACAAAAGAAAACTACATACATTATTGCCTGTCTACACAGATGTCTCAGCATTATATAAAAAAATACAGTTTATTAAAGACATGCTCTGGAACTTTGGCGACTACTAAGTATTTTATAACCTCCTGCTTTGGGCTGGATGTGTCAATGTGTAGTTCATACAGTGCATTCGGAAAGTATTCAGACCCCTTGACTTTTTCCACAGTTTGTAACATTACAGCATATTCTAAAATTGATTAAATCGTTTTTTCCCCCTCATCAATCTACACACAAAACCCAATAATGACAAAGCAAAAACAGGTTTTTAGAAATGTTTGCTAATGTATTAAAAATGAAAATAAACGTAAATATTAGATTTACATAATTATTCAGACCCTTTACTTAGTACTTTGTTGAAAAACCTTTGGCAACGATTACAGCCTCAAGCCTTCTTGGGTATGACGCTACGAGCTTGGCACACATGTAATTGGGGAGTTTCTCCCATTCTTCTCTTTAGATCCTCTCAAGCTCTGTCAGGTTGGATGGGGAGCGTCGCTGCACAGCTATTTTCAGGTCTCTCCAGAAATGTTCAAATCAGGTTCAAGTCCGGGCTCTGGCTGGGCCACTCAATGACATTCAGAGACTTGTCCCGAAGCCCCTCCTGCGTTGCCTTGGTTGTGTGCTTAGGGTCGTTGTCCTGTTGGAAGGTGAACCTTAGCCCCAGTCTGAGGTCCTGAGTGCTCTAAAGCAGGTTTTCATCAAGGTCCTCTCTGTACTTTGCTCCGTTCATCTTTCCCTCGATCCTGACTAGTCTCCCAGTCCCTGCTGATGAAAAACATCCCCACAGCATGATGCTGCCATGACAATGCTTCACCGTAGGGATTGTGCCAGTGGCTTCCGTCTGGCCACTCTATCATAAAGGCCTGATTGGTGGCGTGCTGCAGAGATGGTTGTCCTTCTTGAAGGTTCTCCCATCTCCACAGAGGAAGTCTGGAGCTCTTTCAGAGTGACCACCTCCCTGACCAAGGCCCTTCTCCCCCTATTGCTCAGTTTGGCCGGGCGGATGATGGAGGCCACTGTGTTCTTGGGGACCTTCAATGCTGAAGAACATTTCTGGTACCCTTCCCCAGATCTGTGCCTTGACACAATCATGTCTCGGAGCTCTACGGACAATTCCTTCAACCTCATGGCTTGGTTTTTGCTCTGACATGCACTGTCAACTGTGGGACCTTATGTAGACAGGTGTGTGCCTTTCCAAATCATGTCCAATCAATTGAATTTACCACAGGTGGACTCCAATCAAGTTGTAGAAACATCTCAAGGATGGTCAATGGAAACAGGATTCACCCGAGCTCAATTTTGAGTGTCATAGTAAAGGGTCTGAATACTTATGTAAATGTGATAGTTCAGCTTTACATTTTTGTATAAATTAGCAAACATTTCTAAAAACCAGTTTTTGCTTTGTCATTATGGGGTATTGTGTGTAGATTGATGAGGGGAAAAAACAATTTAATCCATTTTAGAATAAGGCTGTAACGTAACAAAATGTGGAAAAAGGGAAGGGGTCTGAATACTTTCCCAATGCACTGTACATGCATAATTTATGAGCAGAATTACAGTCTTACCTCAACTAGACACAAAATACCTAGTTTAAAGCGACTTTTTCTGGAAGCTCTGCTGCGCCATTTTCCTATATTTTCTCCCACGTGGGCCAGCTCCCTAACAACTCGAGTTCTAGCCAATGAACTTCAGCCCCTCGCCATTTGAGCGACACCTAGCAAGATGCACACACAGCAGAGCGAGAGAGAGCGCAATGACTTGGTGCGCATATCTGCACATATGTGACGTAAAATATGCAATTTTCGGGGGCCTCTTTTGGCTCGCGAGTGCCACTTTCAGAACAACCGGCAAAAAATTTTACAAAAGTACTGGAGAATCTCTTTAAACATCAATCATCAAATTGGGGAAGATTAAGGAAAAGTAATCTAAAGAATGAGGTCAGGTCACACTTGTTTGACATTCAGAGTAAACAGTGAGAATGGCCTTCTGCAAAATGTGGCTGCAGCTGACGCAAACCAGAGACAGAAGAGAAAAGCGAGACACTCGTCTCCCAAATGTTTTGCTGATCGGGGTGGGCCACTCTGATCTACTTGTCCCAGCCCTGCGGAGGGTGTGCCCCAGAGCGAGACATCTCACAGGCAATTTTTCAGGGCGGGTGGGGCGAGGACACTAAGTAGACCAGAGCCAGCTGTTCCCTCTTTCACGTGAGCATGCCAGATATTATGGAGAAACTGTCAGCTCACGCAGGAAGGTTTAGATCGAGTTTAATGGAGGTGATATGTGAGAGGTGTTTGTTTTGAATAATCTTGTTGTATTTATTGTATTGATATTATTTATTGTATGTTCATGTTCAAAGGGCTCCCTTGCAAGTGAGACCCTGGTTTCACGCAAGAGAAGGAACGCCCACTTACACAGACAGGAACCATTACCATTTTTTTCAATGGTAAATGGCCTGAGTAAACAATCTTATTTACATTTACATTTTAGTCATTTAGCAGACGCTCTCATCCAGAGCGACTTACAGTTAGTGAGTGCATACATTATTATTTTTGTTTATTTCCCGTGGGAATCGAACCCACAACCCTGGCGTTGCAAACACCATGCTCTACCAACTGAGCTACATCCCTGCCGGCCATTCCCTCCCCTACCCTGGACGACGCTGGGCCAATTGTGCGCCGCCCCATGGGTCTCCCGGTCGCGGCCGGCTACGACAGAGCCTGGATTTATCCACCATCTTTGACGCAAGCCAAGGGGACTGGGTCAAAGGTCATGGAAAGAAAGCGAGAGAGGCGTGAGAGAGGTAAACAAAGAAAATAAAACTGATATGAGGACTGTGAGAAGACACAAAAGAGGGTGAGGGAGGAGGACAAAGACAGATGGGAAGATGGAGAACAAGACATTCCTTTGACTGGTGTGTATGTTTAGAGAGGAGACGCTCCCACCTGCCAACTCTGGACACAGGCTGGTGACAGTCGGGCAGAGAGGGCTAATCAGACACACAGGCCTAAAAATACCACAGTCTGGGCTGCTTTTCAGGAAACCTGCAGAGAGAGGGGGGTATGATGGATGCTGCTCCAGCCTACCCCCTTCACCTACCCTGGGCCGACCCAGAGCAGGTTCAGCCTGACTGGGACACTCCAACATACAGCCTCCCTCTGGGTCTGGGTCCTATGCCAGCTCCTTGATACACACAATCCCCCTTCCAGGGCCTGCATGGCTGCAAGGCTGAGCTCCATGTGACGAGCTGGCCTGGCAGCCTAGAGGCCACTGTTTACTGTCTGTAACCAGTGTGTATGAGTGCTGGGGAGTACAGAGAGAGACAGAGATATAGTAAGTGCTAGATTGAGAGCATGTTTGTTTGGCTTACTACCTGCTGTGTCTGTGTCCTCCACAAAGAACTGGACGGCCATCTGAACCTTCCCAGAAGGCTGCAGGTCTACCCAGAATTCAGCACAGCCGTTGCCCTTCTTACAGCGCTCAGCCAGCACGGACACGCCCACCGTGGCCTCGGCCAATGGCTCCTCGGCGGTCTTCATCAGAACCACCTGCAGGACACGGCCCTCGTAGATGTGGGCGTCGAAACTGGACTTCCAGGCTGGGTACATAGTGGGTTTCCTCTGGACCAGGGTCTTCCCCCGCTCTGGGGGGGAGGGGGGGAGAAAGAGAGAGAGAGAGAGAGAGAGGTTACACTACTACTACTACTACTACTACCCCATGTGCATGACAAAGTGTGTTTGTGTATGTGTGAAAGGTTGGGAAAGAAAAGCGTGAGTGTGTGTGTATACAGTTTGGTCGTACCAGTGGTGTAAAAAACTTTAAAGTACTACTTAAGTTTTTTGGGGGGGTATCTGCCCTTTACCATTTATATGTTTGACAACTTTTACTTCACTACATTCCTAAAGAAAATAATGTACTTTTTACACCTTACATTCGTTATATTTTCTATGCTTAGCAGGACAGGAAAAGTGTCCAATTTATGTACTTATCAAGAGAACATCCCTGGTCATCCCTACTGCCTCTGATCTGGCGGACTCACTTAAACACACATGCTCCGTTTGTAAATGATGTCTGAGTGTTGGAGTGTGCCCCTTGCTATCCGTAAATTTAAAAAACAAGAAAATGGTACCTTCTGGTTTGCTTAATATAAGGAATATGAAATTATTTAATTTTTTATACTTAAGTATATTTTAGCAATTACATTTACTTTTGATACTTGAGTATATTTAAAACCAAATACTAATAATAAAAGTATGACAATTTGGTACTTTTTCCCACCACTGGGTAGTACCCCATGGGTAATGCTACTGACCAGTGCTGAGGGACTCCTTCATCTTAATGGCACAGAAGGGAGCGTCAGTCAGGGGGGACAGGACGCCCACATCAAACGCATTAAAGGCTATCCGCAAGAAGGGCGACATGGTGACCACTCATCCAGCAGCCTCCTGTTAAACACAGACACAGTCAGGGTTACAATTATGAAATACAGACATAAGCACACTCTTAAACAACCCACATCCTAAAAACAAGAAGTAGACACAGCTGTGTGCAGCGATTGCTAAAGAGACAAGAAATACAGAGGAAGTGGATGCATTCACTGTCACGTGCCGTGCTAATGCTGAAATAAAGACCTACATCAAGACATGACAGAGGGAAGAGAGACTGTTGTGAAAGACTCAGAAGAACAAGAAATCCCTCTCCGGTCCCGCAGACTGCGTGAGAGCAATACAAGCCAGCGGGACAAAAGGAGAGAATCAGACAGAAAATCAATGGGATCAGATTCACATGACATTAATACCCTGAGAGGGAGTGATCTAAATCTGGGGCGCTGGCATTTCTTTCCCCTCCGCTAATAGTGTCCGTCCATCCTGCTACTTTATATAAGTTTGTTTTTCTGGCTGATTTAGACAGGCATGGATCAGGCCATTGAGATGTAGTCCTCGGGGTCCTTCCCTGGGTCATGAGGCCAACCAGATCCCTACGCCTGCAAGAGCCTTCCCTATCTGACCCAAAAGGGTTGAGGTTCGGTTTTGACGATATAGTGATATAGAACCCCTACCGGAGCAGAGACCAGGAGCATCATAGAGGAGGAGGAAACAACGCCGTGAGAAGGTCTGTGAGCTCTCAGAGCTGAGTGTTACCACAGCTGACTGTATATGCAGCACAGAGGACCGTGGCCAGCATGCTTTTTGTGGCCTTGACATTCTTACAAACCACAAAAGGCCTGACAATGTTGCTCATATGCCCCCAAAGCTACACTAACTACTAATTGTCCCCCGCGATGAAATCGGGGAGGGGACTGTGAATCTGTCTCCGCCCATTAGTAGGTTTGTACGTTAGTCACATGCGATATCTCAGACAGCACTGGCACGATTTTATAATTATAATAATTTGGGGGGGGGGTTGCTTATATTTGTCCTGTTACATACAAGTGTGTAATGGAAACATGTTTTTTTGCATATATCCCAACTCCCCCCGAGACAACAGCAGGAAGTGGGGTCACGGCAAGGGGTCGCCATTGTACAGCGCCCCTGGAGCAATTCGTTTTAAGTGCCTTGCCCAAGGGCACAGCAACAGCTTTTTTTCACTTTGTCAGCTACGGTATTCAAACCAGCAACCTTTCGGTTACTGGCCCAACGCTCTAACCTCGAGGCTACCTGCTGGCCCGAATTTCACGAAACTTGGGTGAATGATGCGTCTTGCCATAGAGATAATAATAATAATAATAATATGCCATTTAGCAGACGCTTTTATCCAAAGCGACTTACAGTCATGCGTGCATACATTTTTGTGTATGGGTGGTCCCGGGGATCGAACCCACTACCTTGGCGTTACAAGCGCCGTGCTCTACCAGCTGAGCTACAGAGGACCACGATGCCAGATTTGTAGATCTGGCATCTACAAAATTACACTGATTGGCCCAAGGTAGGAGCTATAGTAATTCACTGAAATGTGTTAGTCATCTAGATTGGGGGGGGGGTTGGGGGACATGTTTACTTGCCTTGTTTTCAAAAGATCCATGAAGTTGGCTGAGTGAATGTGAACTGGTAAGTCCAGTAAGACTGCTCGCTCAGCTCACGGCTACCAACAATTAAAAAAAGTTGAAGGCCTTCATCTTCAATTGCTTTTTAAAGAATTCCATGTAGTTTCTGGGATTATGACACCTTTTGTTCTTCCATGTCATTTTGTGGAATCCATGTCTTGCATAATGCAACAGGGCTAATGGCAGTGAGTGAGTGGTGAACTACCTTCCTATATCAGAAATGCTACTTCAGAACTAAAAATTTGAGGAGCAGACCTACAGAACGTAAGAGTTAGCATGCCAAAGAGGGAGGCAGCATTAGCCTACATCATAATCCCCCAAGCAGCCTTGAAATCCCACAGAATTCCTTCAAGAATTTCCACACAGCTGTTTTCTTATGAGCTTTGTGTCATAACTACCCTACTTTCCTATTTTGAGTCTTTGTGACCATAATCATGTGGATTAACAAACAGTATTTTCAGAGAAGTACTACTCCCTTGTAACCCAACTAAGGTTACATCTCATGACTCAAGCCACTTGGCTGTCCTGTGGCTGTTCTTATCAAAGCTCTATAGTGTTACAACAGTGTAGTACTCTGTGTACACATGTGGTATTAGCGAAGGATATGACATGGTCTTATCCTTTAACTTCTCTGCAAACAGTGTATGCACTGCCAATGTACTACCATAGTGGTACAGAGTGTCCTTGTGTGTAAAGAGTAAAACAAATCAGAGGACACTGCTTTGTTTTCATGCTCATTTTCACATTATTGCATGTCAATCATTACCTGGGTTAGCTAGGTAGTCTAGGACACCTAGTGGCATTCAGCTCACGTCGACTGGTACATGTGTCTGAAGTCAGAACTCGTAAAATTAACTGGTCCATGTTTGTAGACTGGTTTTCCCCAAATACCATTCTATGTAGGGCTACTGTCTGAGCTGGGTTAGTTCTAAAACCATTAACATGTCCAAACTGTCTGGCTTGGCTCTGGTTTCTCTGTGTCTGAGGGACAGTAGTTCGAGTGGCCTGAAGTCAAGACGGGTAAAACAGTTGAGTGAAACTCTCCCAGTCTTCCTTCGCCCACACACGTACACACTACACCACCCATGAAGATAAACACAGATACGGGGAGGAAGATATGGTTGCATGGGAATCCCTGCTTCAGGAAGTAGACTTTGAAATCAACCTGGAAACCAGTCCAAAAGCAACTATAGACTCAGTGCCAGCGGTCTGAAACAGCTCACAGTAGTACATTGCAAAACATTGTAAAATACCAGCATACACATAGTAATTTAATTTGCGCTCGATTGTAGACAGGCAGCCATATACACACAGTACTGTAAAAGAGAGAGCTGTTGTTTCCCCAAAGAGTGGAAAAAATTAGCAAAGGCATCTGGGGAGAGGAGTGGGCTGAGAAAATAGGAGAAGAGGAGAGGGGAAAGAGGGAGATGGAGGGAAACAGTGGAGAGGGGCAGCATACTGGAAGGCAGGCTAGTGGACATTTGTAAAAATTAAACATGACCGACATATATACTATAGACCTCTCGAGAGGGGAGTCCGAGATGTCCACTTGGACAGACCGTGGGTAGAATAGGTTTGTGTGTGTGTTTGTTCTTTAGGGAATATGACTTACAACCTGAAGTCCTCAACTGTGCTATTTAGATTAGGCTCTCAAGTAACTATAAAGCTTGTGTGCTGGAATTAAAGGGCTAGAGTAAGCATAAATATAAAACTGGAATGTCACATTTAGGTTTGTGGTAATAATGTGGTATGTCTTTATGGATGACACAGTAACACCATGCAGACACAAGGAATGCTGAAAGTACACCAATGAGTAAATTGTTAAGGAGTAGTTACTGGAACAAGACATGGGAACACATTTCCAGTCAAATGTCACCATATACACGTACATCACCAAGGAATATTCAAATGAAACAGTTGTGACCTTCTTAGAATTTTACCTTCAAGGAAGTAATACTTAGTGGAATTAATACTTAGTGGGATTTTTACTGGAATGTCTAGTTATGGTCTAGCTATATGTAACTATATACAGTAAATCCCTATGTAGGGTATACTAACTCTTCAGAGGACATGGTTGAAGGAGGACTATTTATTGGAACAAGACTAGTCTGAGATAAAGCAGGATTAGTCATACATCTCAACATTCTCCACCAAGTATCTAGGACTCCAGATGACAAGTGAAACTTCCAGTGAATAGAACTGACTGAAACAAGCGATTAGTTCCCATGTGACCACTTCCTGGTATTTTGAAATACCCAAGGTATGATTATCAATTCCATCGTTTTTTTATTGGGGGGGGCTACACCAGCGGTTCCCAAACTTTTGGGGGCCGGCCCGGGGACCCCTTTTGTGATAATTAACTTATAGTTGTAAGCATTTTTACCATCTAATTTGCTAGCTTGCAAGAGGAAGCTTCTTGGTTACAGCAGAGACAAACAATCCCCTCCTGGTTCAGGATCCCTGCTGCCTAAATGTTTTGTGCATGCAGCAAGCTGTGAGTAGCCTTTTAAAATAGTTGTATAACTTTATGAGCTGGCAATTAGCATTTAGCTAGCGTTCGCTATGGGACTTCGCTAGTAATTTGTTAGCCTTTGTTAGCATTTTTTCAATATAGCAACAAACAAACAGTTTGGAATTAAATGGTGCCCCTTGTGTGCTCTTCCGGTAATACCGTATATCCCGGTATGGTACAGCAACGGTATGAAAATCTGGATACCACCCAACCCCTCTGGCTACATCTTCATAAAGATATCTTTAGATAAGGAATATTCAGTGGAACAACACAGACAGAGGTGTACTGTACATGCGTAGAGAGGTAGGCATACAGCAGAGTGACGTCATTAGAGGGGGAGGCGGTGGCCTCAGCACTAACCACAGGGCCCTGCCCAAACAGGACAGGCAGGTTTAGGCCGAGAGCTTCGTTTTGGCTCCATTATCACTATTATCAGCTGCCCTGCTCTGCTTTCTATGGGACAGGGGACAATGACAATGACAGTGTGTTTGCATCATATCATCATGGGGTGTTTACCTGTATTTCAGCATCTTTTCAGACTACTGGTTGCTACCTACATAGTATTCATGTCAAAGGTTAGTAAAGTAACCTTTGCCTGCTCACAGTTGGTTAACATCACATGATGCACACCAGATTATGTCATCAGTGTCTCCGGATGATGTCATCTGAAACACATTTTTTACTACAAAACATAGAAGCGCGCCGCTTTTACATGTGTTGATGTTGGGGTGTTGGCTGGAGATGATTAATTTGATGTTGAAAAAGGGTGACATTTCCCTTTAAGAGTGGAGGAGGTTGAGACAAAAGGAGGTCCATGAGAATACAGATGATGATCTTTAAAAGGGTTGATCAGGTGAACAGCAGAGGGCATTTAACAATCGATTCTGATGACAGGACCAGAGGGCAGATAGACTGGAAACAGACAACAGAAGATTTCCCCACCGATACAAGGAAGTGCTTTTGGCAATAAAGCCTTAGATAATGTTACTGTATAGAATACTCTCACAAGAGGTATAGGCTGTGCCAAAACCCTTGGAGCTTCTTTAAAAACTACATTTCTGTTCTTATTACATGGATACAGGTGAAAAGTGAGCCTAGGTGGGCGGAGAGACTGTTTTAATTATTCCAACCAAATGTTTACCCTTGCTGTTCTAATGTTATTACACATATTCTAATTGGATGCTATGGGAGATGGTTGTCGGGACGATGGGTTTGAACAGGTTTGACAGGTGTTCCTGGTTTTCTAGTCATGCCCTGTGGATGCCGTGCTGGGACTGGTCAGAGAGGAAAACCAGGAAGCATCCCTGAAAATGACCCATACCCACAACACATACAGCAGGCTGTTTTAGGGAAAATGGGTGGAACCAAACAGCTTTGACCGTATGGTCTTTATTTACTGTAGACAGAAAACTGTCATTCTCATCTTCTTTTCTATATCTCTACCAAACATCGTCTGCCGCTGGGATGGCTCAGGATCTGTCTGTCCATTAATCAAAGTGCCTTGGTGTGAGTTCTCTGTTCAACCAGATAATATAGATCTGTCTGGGTTCACAGTGAGTGTGTGCAGTATGTGCACAGGCCCCATCACAAACAAATGTGCACTCAACACGGAAATATTACGTAAACACGGCTGGTGCACAACGTTGAGAATCAATCTTACACAAACCATTTTCCAGGCAGTGGGATTCCTCTAGCACAATGAATATGTGATTAAACCCAAGCCAAGCTCAGTTCAGTCCAAACAGCATTGTCACTAGCATTTTGTCACTGGAGTGTAAAAGGCTCTCTGTGCTTTTGAACAAGTTTGCCTTTCCTAAACCTAGAGGACCAGAGTGACTGTAATTTGAGATTATGATGTGAAAGACAGAGAAGAGAGCGAGAGAGGGAGGGAGGATGAGAAACGTATCCAGCCAGAGAACAAGGACGGCCTATAGAGCAGGGCCAGGCTCAGCCCTAGCAATTAGAGCTAAGCAAACAACCTCCACAGGACAATAACGAACCTGAACAAGCATCGCCTGTGGCAGCCTGGACTAGATTACAGATACAGCTGATAACATGGTGGTGTATGTGTGTGTGTTTTTGTTTGTTTGTCAGTCAAATCAAAGAAGAAAGTTTCTACTTAAGTTATTGCTCATTGTGAGGACTGAAATGGCAATTTGGACCGTGGAAAAAAGGGTGTCACAGAGTGTAATTTACTATGTGTTAATGTGGTTAAACTGTTTGGCAGATGTTTGTGCACGATAACCCTAACTCCTTACACACAACTAAAACTGGCATAAATATATATATTTTCTGTGATTGAATCTGACCATCCACAAAAGGGGCGTTGTAGTTTCCAAAAGGCCGATATTCTACATAGTTTACCGCAGAAAATATGGTCATTAACTACAATGACCATAATCCACCTACTTGGCCGGTGTGTGTGGGCACGGAGACTGAGAGAAGAGAGAAGAACGCGCGATCAAGAGGGATAGAGAGCAGTTGCTTTGCGAGGTACACTACATTACCAAAAGTATGTGGACACCTGCTCGTCGAACATCTCATTCCACAATTCATCCCAAAGGTGTTCGATGGGGTTGAGGTCAGGGCTCTGCGCAGGCCAGTCAAGTTCTTCCACACCGATCTCAACAAACTTTTTCTGTATGGACCTCGCTTTGAGCACAGGGGCATTGTCATGCTGAAACAGGAAAGGGCCTTCCCCAAACTGTTGCTACAAAGTTGGAACCTCAGAATCGTCTAGAATGTCATTGATTTCCCTTCACTGGAACTAAGGGGCCTAGCCCAAACCATGAAAAACAGCCCCAGACCATTATTCCTCCTCCACCAAACTTTACAGTTGGCACTATGCATTGAGCCAGGTAGCGTTCTCCTGGAATCCGCCATACACAGATTCGTCCGTCGGACTGCCAGCTGGCAAAGCGTGATTCATCACTCCAAAGAATTTGTTTCCACTGAGTCCAATGGCGGCGAGCTTTACACCACTCCAGCCGACGCTTGGCATTGTGCATGGTGATCTTAGGCTTGTGTGTGGCTGCTTGGCCATGGAAACCCATTTCATGAAGCTCTTAACGAACAGTTCTTGTGCTGACGTTGCTTCCAAAGGCAGATTGGAACTCGGTAGTGAGTGCTGCAACCGAGGACAGACGATTTTTACGCGCTACGTGCTTCAGCGGTCCCGTTCTTTGAGCTTATGTGGCCTACCACTTTGCGGCTGAGCCGTTGTTGCTCCTAGATGTTTTCACTTCACAATAACAGCACTTACAGTTGACCCGGGCAGCTCTTGCAGGGCAAAAATTTGACGAACTGACTTGTTGGAAAGGTGGCATCCTATGACGGTTTCACGTTGAAAGTCACTGAGCTCTTCAGTAAGGCCATTCTACTGCTAATGTTTGTCTAATTTGAAGGGGTGTCCACATACTTTTGTATATATTGTGCATCTCTATCTGAAAATACATGATCTAAGTGATTCAGCAGTCATCAGTGGTGTAGTGGAGGGTATACACAGGTATATTCCGTATTCATACTTATTTTGCGCATTAAATACACTCACTTCTTAATCCCCAGGATGCGTATCAAAGTAGTGTAGTGGAGGTCTACAAGATGGCGCCGACAGACATGGTCACACTGTTTCTAGCTCCTAGCCAACTTTGCAGTATTTAGTTGTTTTCAGTGTTATTTCTTACATTATTTGCTCAGAATGTTTCTTTCATTATTACCTACAGCCAAAAATAACTTTAGGATATTAGATTGGCGGTCACTCACCAGCATTTCGATATCCTTTATTTGAACTCCGAGGCATTTCCATTAATCCCGGGGTCTGCTCCAAGACGCCGTCGCCGGAGAAGAGATGCATACCATCCACCCACAGGAGGTTGTGGAGGGGAGGATGGCTCATAATAATGGCTCATAATAACAGAGCAAATGGAACGGGATCAAACACATGGAAACATGCGTTTGATGTATTTCATCCCATTCCACTAATTCCGCTCCAGCCATTACCACGAGCCCATCCTCCCCAATTAAGGTGCCACCGACCTCCTGTGCATCCACCGCTTCAGAGTATATTACTCGCTAACTTTCAGTCCCTGAACAATAAAGTAGACGAGCTAAGGGCGAGGATCTCCTTCCAGAGAGACATCAGGGACTGTAACATACTCTGTTTTACGGAATCGTGGCTCTCTCCAGATATACTTTCCCTGTCCATTCAGCCAGCGGGGTTCTCCATCCAACGCGCGGAAAGGAAGAAAGAACTCTGCGGGAAAAGAAAAGGGGAGGTGTATGTTGCATGATTAACTACTCATGGTGTGATTGTGGTAACGTACGGGACTCAAGTCCTTTTACAATCATTTCGCTACACTCACAATAACATCTGATAAATATGTGTATGTGACCAATTCAATTTGATTCTGAAATGCCGACTGCATTATTCTGTCATCGTCACGGCAGGGTTTATCCCCCCCCCCAAGCAGACACTGCGACGGCCCTCAAGGACCTACACTGGACTTTGTGCAAACTGAATATCCTGAGGCCGCATTTATTGTATCTGGGGACTTTAATAAAGGAAATCTGAGGAAAACCCTACAGAAGTTCTATCAACATATCTTCTGTGCTATTCGCGCAACTCTGGACCATTGCTACTCCCTCTTCTGGGACGTCTACAAGGCCCTCCCCCCGCCCTCCCTTCTGCAAATCAGATCACGCCTCCATTTTGCTCTGCAGATCCTCTTAAGCTCTGTCAGGTTGGATGGGGAGCGTCACTGCACAGCTATTTTCCGGTCTCTCCAGAGATGTTAGATCGGGTTCAAGTCCGGGCTCTGGCTGGGCCACTCTGGACATTCAGAGACTTGTCCCGAAGCCACTCCTGCATTGTCTTGGCTGTGTGCTTAGGGTCATTGTCCTGTTGGAAGGTGAACCTTCACCCTAGTCTGAGGTCTTGAGCACTCTGGAGCAGGTTTTCATCAATGATCTCTATGTACTTTGCTCTGTTCATCTTTCCCTCGATCCTGACTAGTCTCCCAGTCCCTGCCGCTGAAAAACCTTGACGCTTGGCATTCAGGCCAAATAGTTCAATCTTGGTTCCATCAGACCAGATAATCTTGTTTCTCATGGTCTGAGAGTCCTTTAGGTACCTTTTGGCAAACTTCAAGTGGGCTGTCATGTGCCTTTACTGAGGAGTGGCTTCCGTCTGGCCACTCTACCATAAAAGGCCTGATTGGTGGAGCGCTGCAGAGATGGTTGTCCTTCTTGAAGGTTCTCCCATCTCCACAGAGGAAGTCTGGAGCTCTGTCAGAGTGACCATCGAGTTCTTGGTCACATCCCTGACCAAGGCCCTTCTCCCCCAATTGCTCAGTTTGGCCAGGCGGCCAGCT